CCTCAAAACCACGGTGTTGGAGGACAATTTCTGCTCAAAATTAAGGATTGCAAAGTTTTAGTTAATACCTACCCATTGTTTTCCATTTTCAACAGCTATCTCTATTATGGACTCTGCAACTTGTGCGGACCTGTCAAACAAATGTCAAGGTTGTGAAAAATTGGATGTTTTTTGTAACAAGGAAGTTGTTCAAGTATCAGCAATGTCTAATGGGTCAGCTTCTCTGGAGCCTATCACTCCTGTTCCTAATAGAGAGATCGCTGATTCTCCATATGACTGTAATACTCCGCTTACTGAGGCGAAGAGACCTACCAAAGTTCCGTGTTTTGGTGCTAAAACTGCTAGAAAAGAGGACCTAGTTGCATGTGCTGATGATAGCAGCCCCCGTGCTAAAACCGCTAGAAAAGAGGACCCAGTTGCTTGTGTTGATGATAGCAGCCCCCGAACACCCAAAGATGTTGTCTTCGACCCCTTTGCTCCTGGTCCTGATAACATGGCAATGGCTCCCCTCTGTAAGAAATATGCTGAGCAAATGAGGACTAGTGTTGCACGCTGCCTGAAATTTGAATCTTCTTTCAGTTTGATGGAAAATAAGACTTGTGTTGATGATACGGAGTCGATTTCAGATGAGGAGATGTTTGAATCTGTTTACAATAATCTCTTGGAAGCTATTGTTTCAAAGCAGACTGAGGGCCTCCTAGCTGAAATTTCAAACACTGAATGGGATGCTGACTGTTGCAAGACACCTCCAGCTCCTCACCTAAATGGAATTGCTGAAACTTGCCCTGGTGCTCCAGTGAAGCCCTCAGCAAAATCAAGGAAGATTGATTTAGGATTATGCAGAAAGCTTGAATTCTGATATAGTGGATTTGTAAGTTTTTGACACAGCTGACAATAGTGCAATCTTGAGGTTTCGATGCAGAGAATGACGTAGCGGCAAGCAGTGACTAATTTTTGCTTTATTTCATCATGTTGTACTTTTTAAACCCTAACGTTTGTTCTTCTAAATTATAACTTGTGGCACTGGGAGAATATGAGAGAATATGTTCCAAGAGAAAACAGTTCTGTCTGCCCGAGCTTCCGGCGTAGTGCTAGCATTGTATAGTTGATATTAATCTTATTTATAAGTTGGCAAGTTATTTTTTCTCTGAACATTTTCGATGTCCTTTCTCTATTTTTTGTAACAAAGAATTATTTCTGCATGGTGGTTTCTTTGTCACACTGTTTGCTCATTTATGTCAATTCATATCATTGTTTTGCTTCTATTTTGGCTGGTGACATCCTGACATGGTGAGGAATCTATAAAGGAACTGGTAATCAAAGATGCAGAGAGATCGGTACTTTTTCTATTTTCTTTTATATTCAAAATATGAACTGTCCAATTTGCTGCTTGAGAATTGAATTCCTGCAAATTTAGTAAAAGTGACTGGTTTTAGATGAATCTTGCTTTTGTACTAGTATGTCTTGTGTCTTTTCCTCAACTACTATCTTAGCACTACTTTTTCTTCAAGAACAGCAAGTCTTTGGGACATTTTCTTTGCTCTTATGCTGAGAAAGATGTGCTGCAAGACCATAATTGCTGGCAGTTTGAGTGTCATTCTGGGTCTTTATGGGCCTCTACATGGCTACATCAAGATGTGCCCAAACACCTACTTTTGATTTTGGTTCATTCAGGATGTGGAGAGCCTTCCAAGATAACACTTGTACAAAGGAAAACCAAGATCGAGATTTCGGATTCAGATTGATTCTGCATATTTCAAAGGAGTGGATGACCATTATGTGGATACAGTTTTTATATTCAACAACCATTTTCCTGCTTTCATTGATTATTTCAGTAATCAAATTCTTTTCCACTTATACCATACATATCATCAGTAAACGACTATTTTCTTTCGAAATTTTTTCTTATGGTAGAAGTATAATCCATTCATTCGATGATCAATATGGGAATTTTCTTCTGTTTATTGTTACTATAGATGCATATGACTCAATAAAATAGTTATAAAGCCACAGCAAGATGAAGAACTCTATATCAATAAAGATGGGATAATGTAAAATCAAGCATAAAGTTTTCTTCCTGTATACAATATCTCCTCTCCCGTCGAGTCCAGCATCTAAATTATTGGTGACGTCTCTGTACATCAACTTAAAGGAAACAAAAAAAAAAGATTATCATCTCTGAAAAATCGCATCTGAGAATAAAAAAACAAAGAACTCACTTCTAGTTCTGATTCTGACTCTTTCAACACGCATTCTTAGTAACAATATGGAGAGGAATCTAACAGTCTTAACAGGGGGAAAAGCCAAAACTGAAGGCTGAAGCAAAGCAAGGAACAAGAAAATTATACTCCAATCGAATCCAACAAAATACCTGAAGAGTTAAAGAAATAACATGGATCAAAGCTTGTTCTTGCACTCTTGGTTGGTGATATTCATAGCAGGAAAACCAATAGTAAATTTGCAATCAGAAGAGGTGACAACATGTTTCTTGAAAATCCCCAAGAAGTTGATTCTGCCTGGAATCTTTGTATGCGTCTCCATGACTACCTGACCGCCCATTATGTCACCGATCAAAGTAGTTATATCGGATGCAAACTTATCTACCTGAACTGTAAGCCTGCATGGAAGAGTGGTGGAGCCGTCGGACGGAATCAAACCCGGGTAGATATCAGCCTCTCCAACCTGGTCACCGCGATACACAAGGATACTATTGCCAGTGCCATGCCTGAAACTGGCATGGTTTGGGTTCTCAACGAGGATTTGAAGGTCAAGGGTGAGGTTGAGTTGGAAATTAAGGGTGGGGAGAGTCACACGAGGAGCAATCCCTTCAACCTTTGCCGACTGAAGTTGAGTCTTGGGTTGTTTTGTCTTAAACACGGTCAATGCAAGGATCAAGACAACGACAAACAGCAGGAAAATAAGTAGTATTATTGCACCAATGGCAATAAGACATCGCCTTTTCCTCTGGCTTTTCTTGGGAGGAGGAAGAGCTTGATCTTGGTTATGTGTTGTCATTGATCAATGTTCAAGATGGTTGGATAGAAATAGAATTGAACTGGATCAGATCTAATCTAATGTTGAACTAGAAAAATCAAAAGTTTGATGCAAACTCTCATAGAAATAACAGTTGGGAGGGAGAGGGAGAATAAATGCTAGGTTTTGACCTGGACACAAACAGCTAAGTATTTTCCAAGTGAAAGAAGTAGTGGGAAGTTGGATGGCTTTAATGCACTAATTTGTCCAGCTTATTTTACCACAAACAGAGCTTTCACCCATGGAAGGGTCTTGAATGAATGAAATCTTTCACCTAATTTCATTTTAATATAAATAATTACACAAACAAGAGAAAGTGAAAGAAAACAAATCAGAATATTAATCTTTAAAATCTTTGCTTACTACTGACTCCAATAACAACAGGGAAATTAAACAAATAACTAGTCCAATCCAACAGTATAATTCCTCTTTTAACTGTTCTCTTTTCTCTCAGATGAACAACACAATATAAACTTTGTTTTAGATGGTGATATTAACTATGAAAAAAAAAATACAACTTTCAAACGCTGTGTGCAGTTAAAATCTTCACATGCTTTGTTGCCATCGAGGTGTTTATATTTAATTTACTGGTTTTTGGTGTGAACTGTAAATACAACCTTCATCAGAAAGAGTGTGAATTAATAATGCCGACAAACAGCTTTACTTTGAAGAAGATTCCATCATTAATATCACTATCATAAATGGAAACGTACTGGTTTTTGGAAGAAATAGATTTCAATTGAGTGTCAAACTTTGCAGCAGCAGCAGCAGCAGCATAAAATAATATTTGCGTAATCTCAAACACGAATTCTGATTGAACCACCACAGCCATTCCCTAAAGAGAAAATCTACAGTTAATAGAAAATTAGAAAATATAAATACAGATCGATAAAACTAAAGCTCTGTACATTAATAACAACGATGGCTTGCCCTTTGACCTTGACAGGAAAAGGAGGAGACAAAATCAAATCAAAACTCACTGGAAGGGAGAATTTAGTAATGGGTTTTGAGTTTGGTTCAAGAATAAGCAAAAATCGAATCATCCAATCGAAGTAAAACATGACAAAGTTGAATTTTTTTATTGCAAGAAACAAGTATATTACTAATCAGAGAAAGAAAACTACAAAAGAAGAGATACAAACGACAACCATATGTGAAAGCTAAAGCTTTGACTATATTATAAGCTATTCTTATACGTACAGTGTTCTTCGCTGGTTGTACGGTTAGATATAAAGACAGTGAAACTACAGTTAGAAACCGAGGTCACATGAACCTTAAACATTTTAAAGATTGAAACTTTCCCAGATATTTTGGTGTTAGTGCTAAGAGGCAACGAACCCGCTACCATGTCGGAAAAAATTTGAGGATTTGACGCAAACCGGTCGGTCATCACGGTGAGAAATACAACCATATGAACTGTTTCATCGGCCGATACTTTCCCGGCCGGAATCGGAACTTCTCCCACTTCCTCTCCTCTGTAAATCAACAACGCCGCGCTGTCCTTGTACTTCATGCCCACTTTGTTCGGATTTTCGACGGTGAGATTGACAGAGACGGTCAAGTTGAGATTCACCGTCACTCTGGCCATGTCAAGCCGCACTTTGAGGTCATCAAGCGCGACGGCATCGACGGTGATTACGGGGTCTTTGGCTTTGAAAACAGTGAATGCTAAGATCACCATTAATACTATAAGCAAGATTAGAGTGACTCCAAGGCCTATGCATATGTTCCTCCGCTTCCGGTTACCGGAACCTCGCTTCTTTGCTTCTACGTCCATCCTCTTCTTCTTCTTCCTCCCCCAACAATGGAATCTTGAATTTGGGAGTATGTGTTTATATATAGCTGTTGGTTTTGTTTGAATTTTAATGCTCCTGGTGTTTCACATTGAAGAAAAAAATCTTGTGAGATGAGAAGCTTCTATGGTGGATCTTTAATTTTCCTGCAAAAAAAAAAAAAATTTAAATAAAAATTAAATTAAATTGTTGAAGGGCGGGTTAGGGTTCCGGTTTCGGTTACAGCCCACTTAATCACTATCAGGTTAGGACCATGGCCTAACAGTTTGGGAATTAATGACAATTTTATCCCTACGTTAAGTATCCCTTTGGTCCAGTAAATTTTAAAAAAGTCATTATAGTCTCTATCATATACATGTAGTTAGAGAAATGTCAATTATGCTGATAGCCCGATACTTTAGAACTAAAATATCCATTATACCCCTCTCTATCTTCTTAGAAATAATAAATTAAAGAATCAAAATTAGGAATTTAGAAATTAATATAATAAAAATTACAATAAAATAAATAGAATTTATTAACATTAAAAAACATTTCAAAAACTAAATTTTAAGATTTCAAATAAAAATCCTTACCTTTAAAAACAAAACTAAAAAACAAAAACTATCATATCAAAATTTATTTTATAATTTAATTGTCCTTTGATGTTTTTCTTTTTCTGTTAAATTTTATTTTATAATTTTATAAATTAAAGACAGATTTAATTGACAAAATTTATTGTAACATTACCATTTTCAATCCATTTTTTATTGGAGAGAATGAGATGCAACCTGTGGATCCTCAATGAAAGTTATCCAACAGCAACCCACCGTCGTCGTGAGCCTCAAGTAAATCATGGGCAAAAGGATCACGTTTGCGTCTAACGAATAATCAAACCTAGAACATATCTAGTAACAACCTACTACTGCTGCGATCCCAGATAAATCATAAGTAAAAGTATTACCTTTGTGTCAACAAGAATCGAACCTAAAACTATGAGTTGAAGCCATGTATATTGCACAACCTCCTAATTCGCCCTTATCATTGAGCTTGAAGAATTGTATGAATGATTATATATTCAATATTAATAAAAGTGTACAATATATAGGTTCAACATATTCTATACAGGGAAATACAATTATCCTAATAATGAAATTAATCAAAAATATAAGGAAAGATGATATTATAATAATAATGGGTGCGTTTGATTTAATATTCCTATCCAAATTCCCAATCATATTTCCAAAACATTTGTTTGTTTAATTATTTTGGAAATATTAGTATATATTTTTGTTTACTTTTAGACCCCTTAAGTTTATTAATTTCATTAAATACCCCCAGAAAAAAAGTTTAAAAAAAAAAAAAAAAACACTTCCACCCACCTATAGTTGTCACATTCCGGTAATCACAATCGGTAGTAGCCGGAATTTGTCATAACGGCCTACAAACGACTAGAACTGGCCAGTAATTCACCGATCTGGCATTTTCTGGCTAAATTAACAGTGGAGTCAGATCTGGCGGTTAACGACGGCTATATCTTTGCCTGTCGCTGACGGCCAGATCTAGACTTTTACAGCCGTCGACGGCCAGATCTGACCATAGATCTGACTGGAAAATGTCATATCGACGCCCTACCTGCCAGATCCGACCGGTCTACGTCATAAAGCCATTTTCCAGCCAAATTTCGGCTGTGGTGGCCAGAATTTGGCACTGTGGATAGGTGGGGGTGTTTTTATCATTTTACAAATGTTTTATATATTGAGGTGTTTAGTTAAATTAGCAAACTTAGGAGATTTTTTTGTTAAATTTTAAATTTTATCTCGTAATACTCACCTTATTTAACTAACCAATATCATTCCTAAAATTTTGTCCAAAACAATAAAACAAACTGACCCCATGATAATAAGGGAATAAGATTTTTGATCTTATTGGGGTTCGATAAAAACAAAATTCAGTAATGGGTTTCGAATTTGTTACGAGTATAAACAAAAATTGAATCATCCCATCAAAGTAGTAAAGCGAATTTATTATTGCATAAAACAAAAATATCAATAATCAGAAAAAGAAAATACAGACGAGACGCCGACAATCTGGATATTATAAGCTATTCTTATACGTACACTGCCTGTCGCTAACTGTACGGTTAGATATAAGAACAGTGAAACTACAGTTAGAAACCGAGGTCACATGAACCTTAATCATATTAAAGATTGAAACTTTCCCTGAAATTTTTGTGTTAGTGCTGAGAGGTAACGAACCCGCTACGACGTCGTTAAAAGTCTGAGAATTTGACATGAAACGGTCGGCCATCACGGTCATCAATACATTCATAGGAACTGATTCATCGGCCGATATTTTCCCCGCAGGAATCGGAGCTTCTCCCACTTGCTCTCCTCTGTAAATCAACAACGCCGCGCTGTCCTTGTACGTCATGCCCACTTTGTTCGGATTTTCGACGGTGAGACTGACGGCGATGGTCAAGTTTATATTCACCGTCACTCTGGGCATGTCAAGCCGCACACTGAGGTTTTCAAGAGCGACGGAATCGACGGTGACTACGGGGTCTTTGGCTTTGAAAACGGTGAATGCTAAGATCACCAGTATTAATATAATCAAGATTAGAGTGACTCCAAGGCTTATGCATATGTTCCTCCGCTTCCGGTTACCGAAACCTCGCTGATTCTTTGCTTCAATGTCCATCTTCTTCTTCCTCCCGCAACAATGGGATCTTTGAATTTGGGATTATGTGTTATATATAGTTGTTTATCATATATTTTAAAACTCCGGCTGCTTCACATTGAAGAAAAAAATCTAGCGAGATCAGAAGCTTCCATGGAGGATCTTCAAGTTACCTGCAAAAACAATTAAATTAAAACTTAATTAAATTAAATTGTTGAGGTGCGGGCGGGTGATGGTGGGTTTGGGTTTCGGTTACAACTAGCAGTTTAGGACCATGGCGTAACATTCGGTGGCGTAGCGATTTTAACTCTGGGTCAAGTGGGTGGTGGTGGGTTTGGGTTTGGGTTTCAGTTACAGCCCCACTAAATCACTAGCAGGTTAGGACCATGGCGGCATGGCCAAACATTCAGTGATGTAGCGATTTTCCTTTGAGTCAAGTTTAAATGCAACCCAATAGGTTTTGAAAAATAACAAAAAAATCCCTTAAAAGTTAAAACTAGAGTCAAGTTTAAGTATTTTGCGGCTGATTCCTGATTGTATTGTCCATTTTACCACATAGACCTCACAGTTTTACCTTCAAACTTTGCAACCCAAAATACATCTGCCAAGTCAAGGAGCACCCTAAACTATGTACATTTGTGCAAGCTCTTTCCCTACGAAATGCAAGATTCTTGCATATGGTTTTATATAGTTAATGCCCACAACGAGGCATCAACTAAACGTACCTCATGATACAGACCTTTTTTTTTACGTACACTTTAACTAATCTCCCGAGACTCTAAAACTATTAGTTAGATAAGAACTTCAGTGAACCTAGTTAGTAAATACGAGTACGACAAAAACAGAGTACGGGTATGATACGACAAACGGTGAAAAATACGTTTGCAAAAATTCGAATACAAGAATAAAACGTCTGAAGCATATAGTTCGTGAATAATACGGCTAAGTTGATAAAATACAAAAATCCGCGAATGATACAACTAGGCTTATAATTCACGTTTTATTCGCGAATTTACTAATTAGGCCAATAACTACTTTTATTAGCAACCAAAGAAGTACTCGAACTTATGACCTTTTGAATAATACACTTAAGAGTCCCTATTAAACCACTCGGTTATCTAGAGATAATTTAATAAATACCTTCTCTTATCTATAAACAGTCACTCACTTTTGTGTAAAGATTTTGCTTAATCACCGTTAACTTACATTAATAAAGGAGTGATTAGCAATAATTAGAAGAAATTTTGAGGGATATTAACCACAATTATCACATTGATATTAAGACCCACTTTTATAATTTTTTTTTTTTTTTTTTTTTTTTAAATTTCTGTGTGTTATCGGTTTAAGGGGTGATGGTGCTAGCTTTTAAAATCCTTGAAGAGGACATATTTGTTATAAACAATGACGGTGCGAATAAATTTTTTTGGTGGTGCTATAAGTAATAGAACTTTCTATAGGGTTACATTGGTAATTAACTAGTAATAACTGTCCTAAAAACGAGCCATGGGTTGCGCTCCACGTATCCATGTTACTTGATTTAGATTTCACTGTAGCGTGGTGCAACAAATATTATTTTTAAATTCCTTTAATCGTTTACCAAATTATTTAAACGAATGAAAAAGATACGAATTTGGATCTCATTCCTTTTGTTTAATTTTAATTATAACATATACCTTGTGTACGAAGGTTGTTTATTTAAAATTAATTAAAATTATTATTATTAAAAAAATATTACGATAACAATTTATTTTTATAAATTTTCTCTTATAATTTTAACGTGATAATTTATAATTGATCAATTTGTCTCATTTGAATCTCATCTAATAAATTATATTTAATCAATTATAAATTATCACGTTAAGTTTATGCGAGAGAGTTTACGAAAATAGATTATAAGTGTAACATTATTCTTATTATTATTTCGCAAAGAAGTAGGAAATTTCAACGGCATAAATAAAACAAACTTCATTCAATAAACGTTTTTTACTTTGTGTTTTTTTGAACAAACACAAAGTAAACGTGGATTGATAATTACACGTGTCAAGATCTGTGCAACTTGCTTGGAAAATGAGAGCTTAGTGTGAACTCATGAATTTGACTTAATAAAAGGGACCTTCAACTTGTGTGACACGACAACGATGGAATTATTTTATTTTAAAAAAGAAATATAGAAAAAGAAAAAGCTGACAAAGTGGAGTCATATCGTATTCTTATTTCTGAACCCTATTCTCTAATCTAATTCTCATGGTAGTGGTTTGATTTAACTTTGAGTCACTCCGTTAAAGACGGTGACGAGACTTTATATTAGAGTTAATTACAATTTTCTCCCCAATGTATTGGTGTTTTGTTGATACTAGGGTTTATAACGACAGTAAGTGATCGAGTATTTGAGTTAAATAGTTCCTAGTGTGAAATTATAATAATATCGAAATTGTTTTAAACATGTTGGGATCTTATATTGAGATGAAAAAAAGGGTGCGCATGTGGTTTATAAGGGCTTGGATAACCTCCTTTGGCAAACCGATTTTTCAATGAGAGTTTTATCCAAGCTCACAAAAGGATCATTACCTAAGCCAATTCTTATCAAAGGCCTACTGTCAAACCTAATTCTTATTAATTTGGGAGTGAGTTTCTATCAAATGGTATCAGATCTAAACCTTGTCCGAGCTCATGTTCCGGAAGGGGCGACCTAGGAGAGTAAGCCATCCAAAGTGGGCCAACGTGGACATTAGGTCTCAAAGCATGTGAGAATGTTAGGATCTCATATTGAAAGGAAAAATGGGTGGGCATGTGGTTTATAAGAGCTTGGGTACCCTCTCTTGGTAAGCCAGATTTTAAAGAATAGTTCTACCTAAGCCTACAAAAGGACCATCGTCCAGCCCAATTCTTATTAATTTGGGAGTATGTTCCTATCAAAACACTTTTGTTTCAAAGAGAGGTGGGCGAACGGGTTATTCACATTTAATTTGATGGTTAGACTGGCACAAATTGAAAGCTGAATATAGATGTCTCTTGCATTACCCACCCATAATATGTGGAAGTATTACATAACTTCATAGTCATTCAATTTGAGTTATACGTGAAGAACATATGTAAATATTTAATTCAATAGTTTAAAAGTAAAATGTGCTAATCAGATGACTGAAAACCATATTGAAAAAGTGACAACAAGAAATAGATTCTTATTTTAGGTACTTAAAAGAGAAGAGGGGAAATTCAATTAACTCTTTTATAAAAGTTATCTTAAGCTATGTTTTATGTTTGTCTTAGTTTCATAAAATGTATGCGTCAAGTTCTAAACCCTAATTTAAAATTTAAATTGATTTCATTATATAAAAACAAAAATAATCAAAGTATGAATTAGGGTAAGAATAACATTTGAATTATGGTGGTTGTTTGAATGATGTATAGTATTTTGGTCAACACGGATATTGACTTGTTTCATTAGCTGTGTTCAAGCTTGAAACACAATTTCGAAATGATTACTAATCGAGTGAACAACTCAGATACGATTCATTTAATTACTCATGTAAAACTTCAAAACACGAATAGAACACGGTTATCGAACAAATTTGTACTATTTGATCACATGAGACGTGTCATGACCCGTATACCTTTTCCATTTTATAATGTCACATTCAACATATTTAACTTGTTTAATTGAGTCTATGTGTAAACCACAATTAATTTGATTATTGGTTCAACCATAATTAATTAGTTTTACATGTATGCAACGACTAATTGGAAGAATTACTTAAATAACCCTTTTTCATAGTTAAATACAACCCAATAGGTTTTGAAAAATAACAAAAAAATACCTTTAAAGTTAAAACTAGAGTTTTACCTTCAAACTTTTAAACCCAAAATACATCTGACAAGTTAAGGAGCACCCTAAACTATATAGGATTGTGTAAGCTCTTTCCCTACAAAATGTAAGATTCTTGCATATGGTTTTATATAGTTAATGCCCACAACAAGGCATCAACTAAACATACCTCATGATATAGACCTCTTTTTTTTAAATGATTGGGGGTGTTTGGGCTAGTTTACGAGCATCTCGACTAATCTTTGGGGGCTCTGGAACTACCGATCGGATAAGAGCTGCAGTGACCCTAGTTAGTAAATATGGGTACGGCAAAAAAATGGTACTAAAATTTTACGAATATGATACGGCAAATGGTGAAAAATACGTTTGTAAAAATTCGACCATAAAATTTGGATATAGGAAAATACAGTATAGGTATATACGGATTTAATACGACACATTATCAATAATACGTTTTGAAAAATATAGCAATATCAATCCTGGTTTTAGTACTTTTTATGGACTACCTGGTTAAAATCAATATAACATTTCACATGCAAAGTATTCAATTAACTAATAACTATTAGACATAATAATATAACACAATATATAACTGAGATTCAAATTATAGTCTCCAGGCTCAAACACAATATATAGCCAAGATTCAATTATAGTCTCAAATCAAACAAATAACAAAACCAAAATTCAAAGTCGAACTATAGCTCCAAACAAATAAAATAAATAAATAATACAACCAAGATTCAAATTATAGTCTATAACAAAAACTCACCCTAGTTAGTTAATACGAGTACGGAAAAAAAGGGTATGAGAATTTTATGAGTATGCTCCGACAAATGGTAAAAAATACTTTTGACAAAATTTGGCAAAAATTTGGATATGGGAAAAATACGAAAATAAATAGTGTAAGGCATATAGTTCGCGAATAATATAGCTGGGTTGATAAAATATGAAAATTCGTGAATGATACGGTTGGGCGTATAATTCATGTTTTATTCGCGAATTTACTAACTAGGCCAGTGACTATCCCTATTAACAACCAAATAGGGATTCAAACTTAGGATTTCTTGAGTAATATACTCAGGAGTCCCTATCGAACCACTCGATTACTTAGAGATAATTTAATATATACCTTTTCCTATCTATAAAGAGTCGCTCACTTTCATGTAAAGATTTTGCTTAATCACCATTAACTTACAGTAATAAAGGAGTGATTAGCAATAATCAGAAGAAATTTTGAGGGATATTAACCACAATTCTCAAATTGATATTAAGACCCAATTTTATAATTTTTTTTTTTTTAATTTTCTGTGTGTTATCGGTTTAAGGGGTTATGGTGCTAGCTTTTAAAATCTTTGAAGAGGATATATTTCTTATAAACATTGAGGTTGCGAAAAAATTTTTTTGGTGGTGCTATAAGTAATAAAACTTTCTATAGGGTTACATTGGTAATTAACTAGTAATTAACTCTCCAAAAAATGGGCCATGGGTTGCGCTCCACGTATCCATATTACTTGATTTAGATTTCACTGTGGCGTGGTGCAACAAATATTAATTTTAAATTCCTCAATTATTAATTTAATCGTTTACTAAATTATTTAAACGAATGAAAAAGAAACGAATTTGGATCTCACTCCTTTTGTTTATTTTTAATTATAATATATATAAATTACAGTTAACTAATTATAAATGGTCCATGAGAGAAAATTTATAAAAAAAAGATTTTGACTGTAACGTTACCCTTACTGTAATTTTGAAAAAAGTAGGAAATTTGATTGTATAAATAAAACAAACTTCATTTAATAAATGTTTTTACTTTGTGTTTTTTTAAACAAACACAAAGTAAACGTGGATTGATATTACACGTGTTAAGATCCTGTAACTTGCTTTGAAAAATGAGATGCTGGTGTGAACTCATGAATTTGACTTAATGAATCGGCCTTCGATTTGTGTGACACGATAGCGATGGAATTATTTATTTTATTTTATTTTTAAAAAAAAGAAAGAAAGAAAAAGTAAAGCCTGACAAAGTAAAGCCATATTGTATTCTTATTTCTTAACCCTATTCTCAAATCTAATTCTCATGGTAGTGGTTTGATTTAACTTTGAATCACTCCATTAAAGAGGGTGATGAGACTTTATATTAGAGTTAATTACAATTTTCTCTCCAATGTATTGGTTTTTCGTCGATATTTAGGGTTTCTAACAATGGCAAGCGATTGAGTATTTGAGTTAAATAGTTCCTCGTGTGAAATTATAGTAATATCGAGAAAACAAAATTGTTTCAAACCTGTTAAGATCCTATGATGCAGGAGCATAAAAAGTAAAGGTAAAAAAAGAAAAAAAATTAATTATATTGACTTTTGTTTCGTTTTATGTGAGAGAGATATGCTTTAATTTTTTACTTTGAAGGCTATAAATAAAACCTTACTTTATCCTTTGTAATCATCCCTGAATATTATTCAATATATTTGAGTTAAAGTGGACATGTAGTTTATAAGGGCTTGGGCACCCTCCCTTAGCAAGCCGGTTTTCCAATGAGAGTTTTACCCAAACCCACAAAAAAACCATTGCCTAGCTCAATTTTTATCAAAAGCCTATTGCCCAGCTCAATTTTTATTAATTTGGGAGTGAGTTCCTATCGAATGGTATCAGAGTCAAACCCCGCCTGAGCTCATGTTCTAAAAGGAGCGACCTAGGAAAGTAGGTCATCCAAAGTGAAGTCATCCGAAATGGGTCAATGTGGACGTTGGGTCTCAAAGTCAAGCCCGTGTTCTGGAAGGGACGACCTAGGAAAGGGCTAGCTAGAAAAGGGCAACCTGGGAGAGTAGGCCACCCAGAGTGAAGTCGTCCAGAGTGGGCCAACGTGAACGTTGGGTCTCAAAGCGTAGGAGAATTTTAGGATCCCACATTGAGAGGAAAAAATGGTGGCATGTGGTTTATAAGGGCTTGGGCACCCTCCCTTGGCAAATCGATTTTCCAAGGAGAGCATTACCACAAAAGGACCATTGTCCAGCCCAATTCTTATTAATTTGAGAATGGGTTCCTATCAAAACACCCTTGTTTCAAAGAGAAGTAGACAGGCAGGTTATTCACATTTAATTTGATGGTTAGACGAACACAAATTGAAAGCTGAATATAGATGGCTCTTACATCACCCATGTGGCAGCCCCGGATTCGGCACACAGCCCCGGCGACCCCACCATTCTACTGAGTACTGTCCCCCCCCCTTAAGGGATTTTTATTTCGCCTCCCCCACCACTCGAACCCAAGACCAAGGGGCTATAGTCAATTGGGGAGCATGGTGAGTACCATCAGGCTAGCTGGCCTGATGGTACTCACCATGCTTCCCAAATGACTTTAGCCCCTTGGTCTTGGGTTCGAGTGGTGAGGGAGGCGAAAGAAAATCCCTTAAGGGGGGGGACAGTACTGAGTAGAATGGTTGCGGCGCCGGGGCTGTGTGCCGAATCCGGGTCGTGACAACCCACCCATAATATGTGAAAGTATTACATAACTTCACAGTCGTTCAATTTGAGTTATACGTGAAGAACATATGTAAGTGTTTAATTTAATAGTTTAAGAGTAAAATGTTATAATCGGATGACTGAAAACAGCATCAAAAAAGTGACAACAAGAAATAGATTCTTATTTTAGATATTTAAAGAGAAGAGGGGAAATTCAATTAACTCTTGTATAATAGTTATCTTAAGCTATGTTTTATGTTTGTCTTAGTTTCATAAAATGTATGCGTTAAGTTCTAAACCCTAATTTAAAATTTAAATTGATTTTATTATATAAAAACTAGAATAATCAAAGTATGAATTAGGGTAAGAATAACATTTGAATTATGGTGGTTGTTTGAATGATGTATAGTATTTTGGTGAACACGGATATTGACTTGTTTCATTAGTTGTATACAAGCTCGAAACACAAATTTGAAATGATAACTAATCGAGTGAACAACTTGGATACGATTCATTTAATTACTCACGTAAAACTTCAAAACACGAATCGAACATAGTTATCGAACAAATTTGGACCATTTTATCACATGAGACATGTCATGACCCGTATACCTTTTCCATTTTATATTGTCACATTCAACATATTTAACTTGTTTAATTGAGTCTATGTGTAAACCACAATTAATTTGATTATTGGTTCAACCATAATTAATTAGTTTTACACGTATGCAACCACTAATTGGAAGAATTACTGAAATAACCCTTTTTCACAGTCAAATTAGAAAAATGACACCAGGCGGTCCGGGCCGGTGAACGAGACGCAGACAGGGACAAAATTGACTAAATTTAGTGTGAGGACTGAGGAGCCCATCCAAAAGCCCTAAAGAATTGTTATTTTTCAATTGAACCCCAAATAGGGTCCTTTGAGTAAATTTGCAAACATAGAATATTTAATTAAAAAGAGTTCACGAAACCTTTTCCCACCCAAATAATGATTTAATTCACCCACAGGCTTTTAAAATACCACTTTACTATCTAAATTTATATTCTATCGATGAACAGAGAGTAAACTCATTATCATATTATTTGGGTTTTCGAAAAGGGGAGGTCGATGAGTCTTTTGGTGGTGGAAAGATTTGATTTTGGTAATTGAGATTGATCGAAATTTAATTTGGGAGAGACAATTGTGTAAACTCTAATCACTCGATTGCTGATGATTGGTGGGGTTGATGAGAGTAAGATTTGAGAGGTTTTGATGAGTGATGATCAGAAAAAAAAAAATGATAATAATATAGGGTCGTAACGATATCGAAATTAAAAATAAAATATAAATTTAAGTAATATAACGATATTTTAAAAAAAGTAGTTTGCTCAATTAAAAATAGGTGAAGTGAGGTGTCTGAACACAAAAGCAAATCCTAAATAATATAATTAATTAATTAGAAGAAGCTTAACCTTAACCCACAAATCTGCGGTCGTCATATGTCAAATCAATGCCACCACTCACAGTAGGCCCCTCTGTTAAAGAAATCGTCAAATCTGTCTTGACTACATGCAATCAATGCAGTCAGGAATTTGATTAAAACAATTTATGTGTGAATGTTGTTTGATTCGTTTTTTGTGATAAAGTTGATAATCGTAGCTTGAACCGGGGTCAATTCTTACAAAGACTTGATTAATTTGTGCTTGAAACTGGTTGATAATGACGGGCATTTCCATTTTTGTTCACAAAGGAAACACTCCCATGTTGTACAATCACTGTAAATCCCACTTTGGACGTATTAAAATAACTGGTTGATATAACTGGGAGTGGAGGTTTAGGAGATGAATGTTGGTTGAGGTTATTTCTCGAATATCTTGTCTGCATTGTAGTGATGGTGATGGAGATGGGAGAAGAGTCTTTCCAGCAAAGGGTGATTGAGACTGTGAAGAGATGCCAACAGCGGCAGGATGGTCCTTTAATCTGGGCTATGGAAATCGGGAATTGTTTAAACTCCGGGAAGGTTGAACCCAGCCCGGAATTAGGAGAAGTTTTGGTGTCTTATCTTTGTTTTCAGAACAATCATCCTTCTCTTTGGAAGTTTTTCGATTACGCTCTTTCCTCTCGCCTTCTCTCTCCGCTTCATCTTCTTTCTCTTCTCACTGCCAAACTCGTTCCTCATCGACGCTCTCAGCCTCAAGCTTTCCGGCTTTATCTCGAGCTCCTTAATCGACACGCTCTGTCGTTTCATGACGTCACCTCCGATTCTTGTAAACACAAGTAAGTTAAAGTCACGTTTTTTGTTCTATTAATTAGTTTTGGTTTAAACCCACATGCTCTCTTATTTTTGTTTGCTTGTTTGTTGCAGGATTATAGAATCTGTTAGTGTTAGCCTTGAGCTTTCTCAGACTTACAATGTTGGAGTTGTGGAGCTTGGACACGTGTTTGTTTTGTTCTTCTTCACCGTTATTGTTCGCTTGATTGATAGCTTGTTTGAGGATTGGGGATTTCCGAATCCAAGTGCAGGAGTTGAAAGTGTTGAACACCACAGTATTATGGAGATTGACTCTGTTGGAAATGAACAACATCTTGTGCAGATGAGGATGAAGAATTCTCTCATTGCGCTTCAAGTCTTGAACAAGCTTGCTGAAAGTGGAAAAGCCGTGGTTCTACTTCGCCTTGTTCACTTCAACATGTATGACTTTGCTGACTTCTTTTTTATTTCTCAATTGGATGATTAAGTCACAGCTTTAAACACTAATTACCTTGCTTACACTAGCCTTAAACAAAACATTGTGTTTCTTTGCTTCTTGGGTACAAACATCAAATAATAGTAGTTTTGCAAGTGTCCTGGATAATGCTAGTTCAAGTTTAGTCCACTTGTTTGGCGTAATTTGGAATCCCATGTTATAAGAAGCCACATCTGCGCTTAAATTTCAGTTCAACAATAATTTATCCATTATCACCAAATTGTAGAAATTCGATGATACATGACAAATACTATGTCCTTATATTGGTCTTTCAAATTGTTCAAAACTCTGCTTTTCCTAGGTTAAGGTGGTAGCTTAACTAGTAAGTTCATGAACAGACTTTTAACCTAGATGGAGTAATCAAATCGGTGACCTAGTGAAATAGCTCCTTCAGGAATGATAGATGAACAAGCTCTCAGATTAGACCTTTTTATTGCCTTCTTTTGCAATCCAGGGGATGTTTGATGTTTATTCTAACCTAGAACATTCTCATGAAATGTTTGTTAATCAACATAGTGAAGATCGTGGAACTAATTCATTAAAGAAAGATTACTTATTGGGATGTTGTTGCAATTTCTATTTAAATACTACTGCTGGCAGTTCACTGGGCATTAGTAATTTATTCTGAACAAACAAGTTCAAGCATCGGAAACTTCTGATCTCTGTCATCCCCTCTTTCTTGTCTCCTTTTCTGCTTCTATAGGCCTGAAAAGTTCAATGGCCTTCTGCAGAGGCTGCAGTTTCTTGAAGCCAATAAGTTAGCATCCTCAAAACTGAAGTCTGCAAACCAGCTTTTAGCTACATTATGTTCTAATGTCCAGAAAGTTTTGGGTTATGACAACAGGCTAAATAAGCATAGGCTCATTGGAATGCTTGTTGATACTAAATCATTGAGGCCAACGTCTTGCTGCAATAGTGAATCTGGTTTGTCAGCTTGTTGGCTTCCCTTTGATATTTACATGGAGAATGCAATGGATGGGCGACAACTTCCTGTCAGGTCAGCCATTGTTATACTTTCAGGTATATCTACTTGAAGAGAGGTTATTTTAATGTTTTTTTTCTGCTTAATATTTTATTTTCTTTCCCCTTTTTTGTGTGTGCAATTTTTATACATGTTTGGTTTTTTTATTTTTCACCTTTTTTGAAAGAAGTATTCTCGAAAGCTGAAGGAATGGGCAATGCCATAATGTTGATGTCTTACTGCAGAAACAATTAATACCCTCAGAGTACTTAACCGGGCAAGCTGGCAAGAAACTTTCCTAGCACTTTGGCTTTCAGCCCTTCGGCTTGTGCAAAGAGTAGAGGCTAAATCTGTGCTAACTTCTCTTCAATTGATTTAAACTATATGCACACCAGAATTCTTTTTTATGCCTCTTACTCCACTGCAGGAACGTGATCCTCCAGAAGGCCCTGTTCCACATCTTGAGGCCCGCCTTTGTATGCTTTTGTCTATTGTCCCCTTGGCAATTGCTGATGTTTTGGCTGAAGAGTCCAAATTGCAGTTTTCGAAGGTTAAGGGGGTAGCAACACCTGGGTGTACGGAAACTGGGTTTGGACGTGGATTAGGTGGGCAGTGCCTTGCTTCAATTAAAGAGGAATTGATTTCCTCTCTCCAGGTGCTTGAAAACTTTACTGGGCTCTTATGCCCTCCAGCATCTGCCGTTGGGGAAGCCAATAATGCAGCTGCAAAAGCAGCAAGATTCATTTCCATTTCACAGATTACAACGGATGGTTTAGTCAGTAACAGTCCTGGTGACCCATTTTTAAATTCAGGTAACTTGGAAGTTTATGTTTTCTTCATTTTATTCTTATTATTCATTATGTCTTGGAATTAATGCTTCCTGTGTCTCTTCTTTTTCTTTTTCACTGTCTTCTTATTTCCGTCTATCTGATTCATCATGTGATATATTAGCATTCAATTTTTTCTTTTTAGGTGGCAACATGAGGCACCTCATAGTGGAAGCTTGCATTGCAAGAAATTTAATTGACACATCGGCATATTTTTGGCATGGTTATGTTCCGGCATCAGTAATTGCACTGTCTGAACTATCACCAGTTCAAAAATCTCCTTGGTCCATGTTCATGGAAGGAGCACCATTAAATGGTTCACTTACAGCTTTGCTTTTCAGTACTCCTGCTTCAAGGTATAAGTGACAATATTCCTGTTTTACTCTGATATGGCAGATTTTTTTATTTTCTTTTCTATTTTTCTTTTATTTAAAGTTTAGCAGAAATAGAGAAACTATACCATATTGCATTGAATGGGTTGGTAGAGGAGCGATCAGCAGCTGCAAAAATTCTATGCGGTGCATCCCTCACCCGTGGATGGAATATTCAGGTAACACATTTGTCCAGCAATATTGAAAATTTCAAGTTACATGCTTTGAAGACTCTCTTATATACATCATCACGTAAATATTATTCATGGTTTTACTTGGTATCATGATATAGGAATCATACCCATTTTTGCGAAAACTTAAAAGTATTTCTGTTTTGAAGTTCCTATTATATAATTTGTAGTATTGACGTATGAACTTTTGTGGTTATTGTTCCTTGATTTCTAACCAAGTGGTTGGAAGTTCTTATCCCCTTGTTTCCAAACTCTAAAGGGTGTAGGATTTGACAGTAGTTTGATGCATTTCTGGGTTATCAAAACAAAACTAAAGCAGAAATTTGCTAATGTTACGTATAGAATAAGGGCAAAATGGATTAAGTACATCTAAAATACCTTTTTGGTAAAATACTTGTCAAGCAGAAAAGAAATTTTTACAAGACTACTATATAGCCACTTATATCTAATGGAACAAAAATTGTGGGTAATACCTGAAACTTGTGAAAGTGAAATGAGAATTCAGCGATGATTGGACAATAGCTTAAGAAACAGTAGATAGAGGGATGGAGATTGGGCTGTATGCACACATCTACGTGTGTAGCAGTGAGTTGATTCAAGGTTGAAGTACCAAACTGAGAAGACAAAGTCAGAAAGATCTGTGTGCAAGATCAGAAAGACAGTCCTTTCCAAATTTAACAGAAGGATATTTCTGTAATGGTGGAATAGTGCATCAGGGTTCACATAGACTACCCTATGCATATATCATTCATGGTAATTAGTAGGAATGGTTTAGTTTGTGATTTGTATTTTGTATATCAGTATTAGTGGTGATTCTACTCTAAGCTAGATATACTCTGGCAGAAGCCTGACCTTAACCCCTGGCCCTCACTCTCCAGCCTTTTCCACTACAGATGAAGAGTTCTGTTTATACTTGGGGAAGTTCTTATTAAGTCTCCGTATGTGGATTTAAAAATTCTGGACCTGACTTTGTATTTTGGGCTTGATGCATTTGATTTACCATAATTTTTTCACTTGAAGAAAGTTCTAGTTCTTTCTTCTCAATACTTTGTTCTTTTGTCTTTTGTCTGCAGGAAGAAGTGGTATGCTTTCTGGTCAAGATTCTTTCTCCGCCTGTCCCTCCTGGTTATACTGGACCAAGGAGTCACTTAATTGATCATATGTCTATGCTTAGTGCTATCCTGTTTGAAGTATCCACTATCGATACTATTCATATTCTTTCTATGCACGGAGTGGTAAGTCAAGTACTTGCATTTTCTTTTTCCTGCTTTTATTTTTTTAAATTTTTGTTTGGCTGTGTGTTCTTGATTAGTGGTACCAATTTCATATGTCTTTGGATTCTTCCTGATAAGAGTCATTTTAATTTTATATTTCATACAACATGCAATGTGCAGTCATTATCTTTGTTCATAATAAGCAAACCATTTTTGGCTCTCATATATGGTAATCTGCTAGTTTGACATGTCTTATTTGCTGTTTTCAAGTAACAATGCACATATCAATAAAATAATTTGGTGTGAAACTGATAGAAACCCACTGCAATAACTCAACAATTTGAGCTGGGCCATGGGTCTTTCATGGGCTTGGGTAGAACTCTCCTTGGAAAACCGGCTTGTCAAGGGAGGGTGCCCAAACCTTTATAACCCACATGCCCACCCTTTTCCCTTTCAATGTGGGATCCTAACATTCTACCACGTTTCCTCAACCGACGTCCACGTCGGCCTCTTTACCCCCGTCGGCCTCTTTACCCCTTGGGTGACTACGCGGATCCCCTTTCTCTCGGGCATCCATGCCATTTCTCGGTGTAGCAGCCCGGGCCCAAGGTCAGCCTGTCACGCGTGCGCTGCCACATAGGCGCAGGATCACGCTCTGATACCAATTGATAGAAACCCACTCCAATAACTCAACAATTTGGGTTGGGCCATGGGTCTTTCATGGGCTTGAGTAGAACTTTCCTTGGAAAACCGGCTTGTCAAGGGAGGGTGCACAAGCCTTTATAACCCACATGCCCACCCTTTTCGCTTTCAATGTGGGATCCTAACAGAAACCCAGGTCATGAGTTTTTTCTTATTAATTTAAAGCATGCAGTCACTCTTTAACATTGTCTTGCTCAGTTCTGTTAAAATGCATGCTGACATTTTTTTGTATTCCTTGATATTATTTTCTATATTTACCAATAGATATTTTCAAATTGATTTTTTTTTTTTTTTTGTAAAATTGGCTTTAGTCATATTATGATATGATAATGTGTTGACAAGATCCTTGGGTATATATTGACAAAATTAAACCAACATATGTATTGATGTCTACCAAAAATGCCATAGTCACTGAATTTATATATTAATTGAAAAATTTACCAAGCTAGTTATTCCAACTGAAAAAGTGAGACAAATAAACTATAAATTAAATATACTAGTAACCGATGCACTTTTGCTGAATGAATTTAGTTAGTGAAGAAAATAAGATCTACTGATTGGAGGTTAAAAACATTCTACCTATTTGTTGATATACAGTTGTAAGCCAAATGTCACATTGAACAAGGCTGAAAAAGACCAATGAGCCTTTTGAAAATGGATCAAGATTCATAGAAGTTGTCGAATATGTGAACACTTTGTGAGCCCCATTTATTTTTTATGTGATATCTAAATTGGATTAAATTTTCTGTAAAAAGTTGCAAAGGTTTTAGGTTCAATAATATTAATACTACCAAGTTCTAAAAAAGGACATCTTTCAGATGTATGCATGACACCAAAGGTGTGTTTTTGTACAAGTTGTATATAATCAATATAATGTCCATACAACTTATAGTGAAATTGTGAACTATACTTTATGCTATCATGATTTAGCTCAGGAAATCTTGTTTTGGGAAACAAGTTTTCCATTGAGTTTCTTTAGGTTCACTTTGGGGCCAATTCCAAGTCAACCTATATTTGAACTCATGAAGCAAAATATGTATGGATACATTGGATGCTTTGCTTTCCAATCAATTTCTTTATCTATAGCTGTTGTTAGACACAACATTTCTCATCTTGTCATGCTTGTGGGCCAATGTGCATTCTGATGGATGCGAAGTTTCTGTTCCTGCAGATTCCGGAAGTTGCAGCAGCTGTGATGCCACTTTGTGAGGTCTTTGGGTCACTTGTACCTACATCAAGTAACAAATCAAATTCTGGTGACGGGCCCTCATTTTACATGGTTTTTTCTTCTGCTTTTCTGTTTCTTCTTCGTCTATGGAAATTCTATAGACCACCTCTTGAGCAATCCATCACTGATGGAGCAATGGGAGTCGAGCTTAATCTAGAGTATCTTTTGTTATTGCGTAATTACCGCATTGCATCGCATTATTCTGCTTCTCAGAATGAAATAAACAGCAATTTGGATCAGCAGGTGTCAGATAAGCCCATATATCTTGATCATTTTCCAAAATTACGTGCTTGGTATTGTCAAAACAAATCTTGTATTGCTTCAGCACCCTCTGGCCTTTCTACCAGCAATCCTGTTCATCAAGTTGCTAATAAGATTTTAAGTATGATTTACTCCAAAATGACTAAAAGCGGAGCCTCATCGGGTAATTCTTCAACCCCATCAACCGCCAGTGTTTCTGAGTCCCCTGCAAGTACGGGAGAAGATGTTTACCAGAGACCTATCCTGCCTGCATGGGAACTGTTGGAAGCAATCCCTTTTGTTCTTGAGGCTGTTTTAACTGCTTGTGCATATGGAAGGCTTTCATCTCGGGACTTGACAACAGGTCAATTAGAGACTAACTTTACTTGTATATGAGGCTCTTTTTTCCCTCTTTTCTATTATCACAAAATAGTATAAGAAGTGTACAAAATGTGGTGCTAATTGATTGTAACTATTTATATTATTACTGAATAGCATACTGCTTAAACTCTTGGATGCTTGCAGGCCTGAGGGACCTTGTGGACTTTTTGCCTGCATCTCTTGCTGCAATTATCAGTTATTTCTCAGCAGAAGTCACTCGTGGTGTATGGAAACCAGTTCCGATGAATGGAATAGATTGGCCTAGTCCAGCAGCAAACTTGCCTTCAATTGAGTCTGAACTGAAAGCAATACTGGCTGCTGCCGGTGTTAATGTTCCCCTCTGTTCCTGTGGTATATTCGCCAGCTTTTCTTTCTATACAATAATAAATTATCCTATTATAAAGTTCTATCGTATTTTTATTCTAACAACTGTGTTCTATAGTTGGACATCCTGAGAGACAGCAAAATAAAATCTTTTCCTTTTCTTTTCTAATTTTGTTAAAAGATTTCTATAATTGATCACAGTGGTCTTACGTATGGTGCTATGTACTCTAAAGTGTGGGTATCAAAGCACTGAAGTAGGGATATAATTTTTAAATGAATTTAATGAAGCCATGGCTGATGAACGATCCAAATGACCAATAATTAAGATTGCGGCTGCAAGTATGCACACATATAGATTTGATACTAGTTGCTGTTAGCTTGTAAGATACAAACTGCTCTAATCAGATAATGTTGTCTCACTCTCATATGGTGCGTGAATGTTTTCTTATTCAACCAGTGTTTGCACATACTATGCTCCTGGAGCACTGTGTTTCATGAAAGCTTATTATTGTCCCAAATTAAGTTTAGAGGTGCATATGCTCATGGGGCAGTGAATAACTTCTCACTTTATAAAGCATTTCCTCCTGTTTTTATTGGGATCTCCATGGTGAGTCTCTCTGGCTGTTGATGATAGCAATGCGCACTTTACCAATCTAAGAATATTTTCCAGCCTTTCCCTTGCTAAACCTTTAATTGATACCTTTTCGCAGAGAAATTGCCGATAGTGCTTCCACTTCCGCTTGCAGCTTTTGTCAGTTTAACCATTACTTTCAAACTCAACAAAAGCCTGGAGTACCTCCATGGTGTAGTTGGGCCAGCTTTGGAGAACTGTGCGTCAGGTTGCCCCTGGCCTATCATTCCCATAATTGGCTCCCTGTGGGCACAAAAGGCTCGCGGCTGGCATGAATTCATAGTGGTATCGTGTTCTCGTACTGTGTTCATACGAAACAAAGAAGCTGTTGTCCAGCTTCTGAGAAGTTGCTTCACCTCATTCCTTGGATCCCTTCATGTTTCTCCTTTGTTGACCAACCAAAGCAGCGTAGATAATCTACTGGGCTGCATTGTTTCAGCTCATACTGTTTGTCCTGCCATGTCCATAGCACCTGGATTTCTTTACCTTCGGTCTTGCAGGACAATACATGATGTTGAACATATTAGTGATGTGATCGTAGGGCTTGTAGCAGAGTATGCTCGAGAAGCAGCCGGTAGATGGGCAAGCTCAGACTCGCACAGGTTGAAGTCTAGTCGAGCATCATTGTCTCTAGCCAGTTCCAAGGCAAGAGAGGTGGGTACGCTGGGTGCAAGCCTCTTATTTCACACCGGTGGATTACACATGGTTCAAGAACTATACCGAGAAACTATACCAACCTGGTTGCTATCATCAAGAGAAGAGAAAGCTGGGAAGGCGAGTGCCGTAGCTCGAATAATGGAAGGCTATGCAATGGCATATATGTTAGTTCTATCTGGATCACTGATGTGGGGTGTTGGAGCCACAACAAAAGAGTCATGTACATTCTCCAGAAGGGCCCTCATCATAAGTAAGCACTTGGAGTTTCTGGGGAGGGTATTGGATGGGAACATATCGCTCGGCTGTCATCCCGCCACTTGGAAAGCGTATGTTTCATGTTTAGTAGGTCTGATAGTAAGCTGTGCTCCAGCATGGGTTGAAGCAGTGCAGGTAGAGACATTGAAGAAACTGGCAAATGGATTGAAAGGATGGCATGAATGTGAACTAGCACTCTCTCTTCTTGAAAGAGGTGGGATTGAATCCATAGGATGTGTAATTGAAATGTTAGATGTAATTAATTGATTGAGTTTAGGTTAAAATGTGTAATGTACAGTATGGTATCTGTGATTAGAAGAGTTTTCAGTGGAGGAGCCTTCATTCTGATGCTGTTGCTGTAATGTAATGCAATGTATAGGTATTGTTACCGGTTTGGGTGATTTTTGAGCTTTTAGAAAATTTGTCCATAATTGTACAGGAAATGGATTTATTTTCTTTTGCATTTTAATAGAATATCTATGGAAAAAATATATAAAAAAAAAAAATCCATTTAATAAGTGTAGATCGATAATATGTTCATTTATTTAGTAAACGTATTATTTATTTTTTCAATTTTATTCTATTTCTATCTCATTTATTTACAGTATTTATAAATGCATTTAATTGGTATTTTTTTATTATATTTGATTTGGGCCGTTAGGGCCCATTAGCAGCCCGGCTGAGCCCATCTGAATTTAAATTCAACTTTATTGTACAGCTTTTTGTTTTTTCAATTAAATAAAAAAAATTAAAAAATAGCTCGGGGGCCAGAAGGTTGTCTTCTCCAGTTCTTCTGAAAATCTCTGCTTCTTCTGCTTCTTCTGCTGCTGCTTCTTCTCATAACACAATACAAATTTACAATACAAGACAAGAGGGAAGTGAAGGAGCGAGAGGGAGAGGCCAGTGCGTTGATATGTTAAGTATAATTTTTATTATATATTAGATTAGGGTTTTGTAATGGAAGGATTAGGGAGGAGAATATCAGCCAGTCCAAGGCCCTGCTCTGGACGAAGGGTTTTGGCGAAGAAAAGGGTTCGTCCCGATGGATTCCTAAATAGTGTCAAAAAACTTCAAAGGCGTGAGATTTCCTCCAAGAGAGATCGAGCTTTTAACATCAGTAATGCTCAAGAAAGGTTTCGCAATATGCAGTTGGTGGTAATTCACCTGGCTTTAATTCAAGAACTCTTTCTGTTCTTTTACTTTACATAGAACAGCAAAGATTTGTTTTTTTTTTGGTTTAATTTTCTGAATCTGCATCAGGAGGAATATGACACCCATGATCCCAAGGGTCATTGCCCCTTAGTTTTGCCTTTTCTAATGAAGAGAACTAAAGTAATTGAGATTGTCTCCGCTAGTGACATTGTCTTTGCTCTTGCACATTCCGGTGTCTGTGCAGCTTTCAGTAGAGGTATTGTTAGGTTTACCCAATTGGAGTTTTGTAAATTTGTCATTATGTTCAAATTAGTTGGCTCATTTTTGCCTATTCTAAATGCAGAAACAAACAAGAGGATTTGTTTTCTCAATGTTAGTCCTGATGAAGTCATTCGAAGTTTGTTTTACAACAAGAATAATGATTCACTTATCACTGTTTCTGTTTATGCCTCTGATAATTTCAGCTCCTTGAAATGCAGATCCACTAGGATTGAGTGAGTTTCTTTCTTCCCTTTGTTGTTTCTCTTTTTCTTGTCAATCCATTAGTCTCATGCTGATTATTTTTGCTTTTAAATGGTTAGATATATAAAAAGGGGTAAGCCAGATGCGGGCTTTGCTCTTTTTGAATCCGAATCATTGAAATGGCCTGGCTTTGTGGAGTTTGATGATGTTAATGGAAAAGTCCTAACGTACTCTGCACAAGATAGGTACTTCTCAACTCCGAATGTTGTATTTTTTTGTTTCATCAAATTTAGGTTCTAATTATTGATTATGTTGACAGCATATACAAGGTGTTTGACCTAAAAAACTATAATATGCTGTATTCTATATCAGATAAACACGTACAAGAGATCAAGATAAGGTAATATCTCTCTCTCAGAGACACAAAATACTAAGATTAGGGAAGCCGCAAAGTTTTCTTTCTTCTTATGTGTTTATCCATCATATCTCCTAAGTGTTCTTCTTACTCCAATTTGTCTACTTTACCTGTGACAGTCCGGGCATCATGTTATTGATTTTCGATAGATCTAGTAGTCATGTTCCTCTTAAGATTCTATCAATAGAAGATGGCACTGTTCTCAAGGCTTTCTACCATCTGCTTCATCGAAATAAGAAGGTGGACTTTATTGAACAGTTCAATGAAAAGCTTCTTGTCAAGCAAGAAAATGAGAATCTCCAGATTCTTGATGTAAGTTATCAGATGTCTTTTTTGGCTGCTCATTTGAAACCTCAATTATTCAATATGCCTTATGGAAATGTCAACATTGTGCATAGGTTCGAAATGCTCAGCTGATGGAAGTTAGTAGAACAGAGTTTATGACTCCATCAGCATTTATCTTTCTTTACGAAAACCAGTTATTCTTAACCTTCAGAAATCGAACTGTTGCTGTATGGAACTTCCGTGGGGAGCTTGTGACTTCGTTTGAGGATCACCTGTTATGGCATCCAGACTGTAACACAAATAACATTTATATAACAAGTGATCAGGATCTTATTATTTCCTACTGCAAGGCTGAATCTGAAGATCAATGGATGGAAGGAAATGGTAAGTTTTGTTACTTCATTTTGGGTGACATATATAACTGAATGTGGTAATGACTCATGTTTGGCTTGTTGACTGGATTATAATTGTCTCAACAAATTTCATTTAGAACTTTATCAGCTTTAGCTTATTGTGGTTCATTTTTTTGAAAAATATGATTTAATCATGATTAGTAAATCGTAGTTAAAGTATGGTAGCAGTCACCTACCTTTGACCAATCTTTTGTCTGTTTAATCCTTGTTTCTGAACCTCAGTTCTAAAGTCTCATTTTCATCCATCTACATGTGTTTGCATTGGTTACTTTAATTTAGAACCCCATGGCCCATATGGTTGAATTGGTTGTTGTTTGAAGGTCAAGTAAATCACCTAAGAATTCACCTTTGCAATTTATAACATAAATTAGGTTTACCATCTCCATGACCAACTTTGGCTAATTTATTTTTTGGTTGATGGAAACATGAAGCAAATGGAACTGGTTACATTATCTTTGGCTAACATTGTGGCCTGCCCTTCATATTCTGTCTACAAATATTGAGTTATTGTGATTCAATGAAGAGAATCTTAGCAGTGGGAGCTTTAGTCTCATTATTTTCTTTCTAATGCAGCTGGATCGATCAATGTCAGCAGTATTTTGACTGGGAAATGTCTGGCTAAAATTAATACTTCGAGTGGCAGTTCCAATGTTGATGAGTGCAGCAGTAGTGTTGGGCCTGTTGTCAGCTCAAAGAAGTTGAAGCAATCCTCCCAGATAAGAACCACAGTCGCAGAGGCTTTGGAAGACATAACATCGCTTTTCTATGATGAAGACCGCAATGAGATCTACACTGGAAACAGACATGGGCTTGTTCATGTATGGTCTAATTGAAACATCCCATAATTCTGTTGAGCTATCTCTACTGCAGATTGGATAATTTTTGTGTATCATTAGATATCGAGGTGCTTTCACGTTGTATTTTTAGATGATGAAACTGGAATATATTTGTTTGTAGAGTAGCAATGTTGGTATATAGGCTGCCTATTGAGATGAAGTGAAATCTTGCAATGTCTTCTTGTATGCTCGCTAATTTTATTTCTTTTTGTTTGTTCGCTCAGCCTCTAAGAAATGGAAGAAACAAAATACTCTCTGGATCATTTCATTTATGCTATGAATATTGAATAAATATATATTTACTGCAGCTGGATTAGTTGCTACTTGTTAGTATAAATTTCATGATGAATTTTATGCATTTAGAAAGGGAAAATAATACACCTACCGACGATAGTGCACCGAATTTGTGCACCGGATGACGTGACAAAATCCTGACCGTTAATTAATTTTAACTTAATATTAATTAATGGTCAGGATTTTGTTACGTCATTCGGTACACAAATTCGATGCTCTATCGTCGGTGGCTGTAGCATTACTCATTTAGAATGTGTACCTAGAAAGAGAACAACCCATATTGTGAAAGCAGAATACAATTATATAGTTCAATCAAAACAAGAATCTAAGTAATTCGTGTGATCGATTAGCATTCGGATTGGTTGATGCTTATTAGTTTTAGAATACAAAGCAACAATTACACCTGTTAGGTATATATACACAGTTTTTGCCCAGTTATATGAATGAAACTACGACAGAAGAAAAGAGTTACCAAAACACTTAAAAACTTTTTTATCAAACATAATGAGGCAGCTTCTTCATCACTTGGAATTTATTACAGTGTTGGTTTTTGATGTCATGGGAAAGGCTTAAGAATCTGAAATGAGCAGAGTAAACTTTCATCCACACACATGAGAGCACCTGCATTATTAAACTCGCCGCAGTAGTTTGGAGCTGAGAATATGGTAACTAGTTGCCTGTCTGCAAAGAATTCATAACCATCTTCAACAACCTGTCAATCATTTCCAGCAGAAAACAATAATTCTTTTGTTTAGCCCTTTTTCCTATTTAATGCACATTTACGAAAAGTTTATTAAGTTTCAGGAATCGATATGCATACCTGGTGAGCGCGGCATATGAGATCGAGGTCATGCTTCCTCAAGAACTCAGCCACCTTGTCAGCTCCAAAGGTAAAGGAAACACCCCTATCATTCTCACCCCATCCTTTAATGTCCTTATCAGGATCAGCCCACAGCAGATCACACAAGAGCCCTTGATCTGGCACGTCGATAGGCCTTTTTATAGCTCTGATCTGATTTAAGCTTTCCAATTCTGGTGAAAGTCCACCATGCATACAGAGAATTTTATCATCAACAAGTGCAGCCACTGGCAAACAGTTGAAGCAATCTGTAAATATCTTCCACAGACGCACACTGAAACGGCGCTTGCACTCGTCATAGAAGCCATAAATTCTGTTGATAGAAGCACATTCATGATTGCCACGGAGGAGGAAAAAATTATCTGGGTATTTGATCTTGTACGCAAGAAGAAGACATATAGTTTCTATGCTCTGTTTTCCTCTGTCCACATAATCTCCTAGAAACAGGTAATTGGCATCCGGGGGAAATCCACCATACTCAAACAATCGTAGCAGGTCAGGATATTGACCATGTATGTCACCTGCACGCATTTACACGTTCTATCTAACCATTTGATTCAGAAAAAAGAAAAGGTAAATTTACTGTTCTCATTTATGCCAACAGAATCACATAAAAACACACAGACACACATATATTTGATGAGGAAAATACATTGAATGAAAAAGAAAAAGAAAAAGGGTACCACAAATATTGATGGGAGCTTCCAATTCAAGGAGATTGGGTTGTGCCAGGAAGATTTGCTTGGCAGTGACACAAAGTTGCCGTATTTCAGATTCATTGAGCTGAACCCTTTTCCCTTTGTTATATCTTCCACCCAATAGCCTCTCCAACACTCCTTCCATTCCTTCCATCTTTTTCTCTTCTCTTCTCTTTGCTTTAAAGATTTTCCTACTTTCTCTCTACCTTTTATCCACCAATTTTCAAATCATCCCATCTTCCTTAAACAACAAAACATTACCAAATTCCCTTTTTCTTTTTATCTTTTTCCTTTTGAAAATAACCAGAGAAAGAAGAAAAGGAATGTGAAAACTACAAAGTTAGCTTAATTGGGTTGTTGCGAAAAAGAAAGAGAGAGAGAGCAAAAGAAATTGTTGGAGTTGAGATATATTAGGGGGTGTTGGATGGGGGAGAGGTTATTGATTAATTGTTAACTCTTAAATATTTGACTTTGGTTTTAACGGTTGTGATGAGGAGAGTTTTGCCTCCGATTTACACGCATATTCTTCCTATTATTATCCTTCTTCTTCTTATTATTATTTAAATACATATAATATAATACCAGATAATATAACAACAGTTTTGATTTCATTTGACCACCATAGCCATTTCATCCTCAACTTGCTGCTAATATCAGTCAGTTTCCTTCCTCTGATAATTCATTCTGTTTGTTTTCTGTTTAATGGCTAAAATAGGGGGCATTGGAGTAACCAACAGTTTTGGCCACATCCTCATTCCTCAATTCAATATGTAAAACATATACATCATATATCTCCATGAAAATGAAAGGAAAAAGATAATGCTTTCTAGGAAAATGCTCTCTATTTAATTATATATATATATGGTTACCCACTACCACTACTAACCAGGATAACTGCAGATAAGAGCATAGTTTCAGGAGCAAAACCTGGATCATCAAGAAGCGATTTCTCTTTGGTCTTGTAGTGTCTGTAATCCGGCCAGGAGAATATTCGGGTTTTTGGTTTATTAATAACATCATCATGCACTCTCTGAAGAAATTTTCGATTAGCATTTCGCACTCATTCAAACCGATTGTGACTTGATAATGAAATATAGATGAGAAGGAATCAAATTTTACATAAGTTCAATTGGTGAAATCACCAAGATGATGACAACCAAATACACCATATTTGTTTTGAAGTTTGAACCAAGTGGATTCCTAATGCACACTATAATATGTAACAGAGAGAAAGATAGAACACTTCAAAGTAGAGGGGCGGCAGTGCGCAACTTCAATATTGAGACTTGTCAAGGCTGCTAAAATAGGGATGGTCCATCGCTGCTTTGGCTGAGATTCTGTCTGCCGGATTATATTTGAGCATGCTCTACAATATCGAAAAAAAAAAAAAATCAATCAATCAATTAATTATATTAAAAAGCCAACATGATATTTCACCAAAGCAGCAGGAGCTATAGCTATTCATTCCACAGAAAAATTCATCAAGGCAATTAATCTAATAGTCCTAAGAAACATAATCGAATTATTAACATAAAGATTGTATTGACTCCTTGGAACAAATAGTGTAAAGATTGTAATTTGTCAATCAAAACAGCAGCCAATTGAGTTTGTCTAGACTCCTAATTGTGCAACCATAAAAGTAAGAAATCTTTGGAGAAGATTGGAAAATCATGATCCATATCCTCTCTACAAATAGAGTTCAGATGGGTGAAATCTAGAGCATCATATCACTCAAAAGACTCTGGCTGAACAATTTCTGAGTCTACTACAATACTCAAAAATGAAACCCAAAATTCGGACTGGCTATGAAGTAGTGTATTTAGTTTTCATAATCCCGAAATCAAAATATGAATAAAATGAAGAGCCAAAATATATTCAAGAAAACAATTACCGATAGAAGGTCTACTCCTTCAGGACTCAGAGATGGAACAGCACGCGCCAAGTTTTGAGGCTCCCACACAGGATACACATGCCAATCCCGCAGAGAAGTAACACCAGGCCACTGTTTCTCCGTTGGCGTTCCCATCAACCTTCAAAGTAAGAAAAAAAATCCCATTACCATCACATGCATCAGAGAGATTAAAATGATGAAGAGTGCAAACTAAGATAGTTGATTGCTTCAACTTTATGCAAAGCAAATTAAATTTACTAATTGAAACATACAGTACTTGGGTAGACTAATTTAAACAAAATCAGCATTAACCTTATGCCAAAGCTAATTGAGGGGAGAACAATCTAAATGAACAAAATGTCAAAGCCAATTGAGGGGAGAACAATCTAAATGAACAAAATGCCAAGGCCAGTTGAGAGGAGAACAATCTAAATGAACGAATTATCAATATTTACAAGCACAGCGACAACAATTGACACCAATGAAAAAATGTGAATGAGTAGAAGAATAAAATACCTGAAAATATGAAGCAACTGTTGAAACTCAGAGTCGCCAGGAAACAAGGCCTGCCTTCTAACCATTTCAGCGAAAATGCAACCAACGGACCACATATCAACAGCAGTAGAGTAATGAGTGGAACCAAGGAGGACCTCGGGAGCCCTGTACCAGAGAGTAACAATCTCGTGAGTGTAGCTCTTGAGAGGAACAGTAAAGGCACGCCCAAGACCAAGATCAGCAATCTTCAGAATCCCTTTCTCTTTGTCCAGAAGAAGATTCTGCGGCTTGAGATCCCTATGAAGAACACCATGACTGTGGCAGTGGGCCACCCCCTTGCAAAGCTGGTACAAGAAGCTCTGAATCAGGGTTGGAGGAAGAGGCCTAGGATTGGGGCCTTTGCGATGAGAATCAATGAACTTCTTGAGATCGGTGTCGAGATACTCAAAGACCAAGTAAAGATTAGATTTATTATTAGAACTATGATTATGAAGAGAAGCGGAGTCGGGACTCGGATTCGAGGCGGATTTCTGAGAAGAATCAACGTGCTCAACACAGAGAAGGCGGACAACGTAAAGAGATTGAGAAAGCATTTGAAGGAGAGATACCTCTCTCAGAGCGGTGGGAGGAATGCCTTCTTCGTCCATTTCAAGTCTCGTTTTCTTAAGAGCCACCAATTGGCCGCTAGTTTTGTCCTTCGCCTTGTAAACTTTTCCATAAGTGCCTTCGCCTACCTTCTCCAGCTTCTCGTACTTGTCCATTTTCCCACTTCGTTACTGCTAATTCTTGTTGATCTCTTTGAATTTTGAGCTATCTGTCTCACTCTCTACTAATAATAACCCTAAAATTTTGAATTTCAGTGGCACCGCCTCGTTGAAATTGAAATCTTATAGAGACAGGAAAGAGAGCCCAACGGCCAGATCTGGAAACGGGAGCGTTTCACAAACAACAACACGTGCCCCCTTCCCCAGTTTCCCTCTCTTTTTGAATTTTGAAAATCATTAGGGTCAAACTTTAATACTAATTATTATTTCAGAAATTATTATCCATTATTAATAATAACCATCAATTTTACTTTGAAAATAATTAAAGTTTAACCGATTAGTGAATTAGATGTCATTAAGGCTGTGTATGGTTAGGGCACTAAGAAAATTACTCTTATGATCTATCTTTTAATCCGATCACTACTTTATTTGGCTTAACGGGTAATAAAAGATTCCGATAATTTTTTATTACTCTGATAATATGAGAGATGATTTCCGATCCCTATCTTATTTGGTTCAATAGGTAACAAAATATTCTGACAATCTTTTATTACTCAGATAATACAAAGGCTGATATAAAGGGTGCGTTTGGTTCAAGGAATGTTGCATTACTAGACAGTTAGATTACTTTGAAGATTACTGAAAATCATTGAGAAAATGTGTTTAGTTAGTTGGAATAAATTAGTTGATATGTTATATTAATATGTTTGGTATAAAGGAATAAATTGGTGGGTATGTTATTTAAATTACTAAATTGTTATCTTTTAAATATTAATATAATATTATTTTTATTATTAATTTTTGAATGATTTTGAAGCCCCCAACATTTCAGATTTAGCTAAAACACCCCTACTTATGTAAAATTTTATATTATAACAAAATCACCCCTACCACCCCCAAGCCACTGCCCGTCACCGCCATTCACCGCCGTGAGTCACCAAAAGAAACTAGAAAACGCACAGTTTAGATCGAGCGACCTTGGGCTCTTCGTTGATGGTGGAGATGAGATCAGAGAGGAGATCAACGTAGTGGAGACGTGATAGAGCGGCGGTAGAGATATTGGAGACCAGAGCGGATCTGGCCGTTCAATAGGGTCTTGTGTCTCTCACAATCTCCGGTCTGCACGCGACGGTCAGCGATGGTTTGGCTGGCGGCTACCCACGGTCTGATATTGGATTTTCTGCTAGTGCATTATGTAGTTTATTTTATTTTATTTTTTAATTTTAGTTAAATTAAAAAAGGTTATATTTCAATTAAGTTTTTTTTTTTTTTTTTTTTTTGGATTTCTTATTCGTTAATATTATATATATTTTTTTTTTTTTTTTCCTTGTCCTATAGTTATTATGAGTATGTTTTTTTTTTTTTTAATTACTATAATAATTCCTTGTGGTAGTAGTATTAGGGTTAATTCTTTGTAACTAGTGTATTATTGAATTGTTTGATTGTGTATTGAATTGAAAAATACAATGATACCCTCTCGTATATTCAAGAGCTCTAGTCTCAGAACCATGCATGCCGACACACTACCTTAGTCTTGCAACGATGGACCCACGCCAATGGAAATCGATGACGAAGAAGAGAAATTGGAGGAGAAAGCGAAAGAAGTGGAGAAGTATTCTGATTCTTTCCATTGTATTATTTGCTTAAATCCATGGGAGCGTGAAGGTCCTCACCAAACTTGATGCGTTTAACTCTCAGAGCAGAGGCCCTTTTCTTGAATTTCTACATATATATTAAACATTCTTTTTTTAAATACTTTTTTATTATTTTATTTTATTTTATAGATTCATAGAATATAACAATTAAAAGTTTGTTGTTTGAAAAATGCGGCTGTCTGCCTTGTGGACACCTATATGGTTTGTCTTGCATCCAAAATTGTATCAATTTAGCTGCAAAGGTACATTATTTTCGTATTTGTAATTTGATTATATGTTTCATTCACTTTTAATATGTACGTTAATTTAATTTCTTGCTTGTAGTGCCCTCAATGCAATGTGCGGTGCAATTTGAATGAGGTGATAAAGCTTTTTGCATTACCTGCAATTCTGCTTGATCAAAATCTACACAAGGTATTTTTTATTGTAGAATGAATTGATGTTTATTAATGATCAATATGAGGTTTTACCTTTTTTGCAATGTTGCAGGAAAATGAGAAGCTCAAGGATGAGAACCGCGTTTTGATGTCACATGTAAGGATTATCATTATTTAAACTCACATTTATTTCTTTTTCCATTAAAATTGTGATTTGTCAAGTTATTTCTATTTTTCCATGACGGCTACAAAAGTGCTAAGTCAAGGATTCCTTCTCCATGTCAGGCTTCTGGTAGTGGTGATCACAAATCTCAAAGAAAAATCGTCAAAGGTTTAGTTCGCTAAGATTTCATACCTTTTAGTTTGTCTTATGATATTTCTTGCTTCATTCTTGTCTTGTGGAAATACCCCTTTTTTGCTAAGTAGTCTCACATCGGTTCAAACCACTTCGGCCCCTCGGTTGAGTCTACGTTCTCTTCTGCTACGAATACTTCCTCATCTGGCAGTTCTTCAGATACTAAAACATCTTCTGATATTGGATTTTCTGCCAGCACGTTATATAGTTGAATTTTTTAATATTTTACTTATATTAAAAAAGGTTATATTTCAATTAAGTTTTTTTTTTTTTTGGATTTTCTTATTCATATAATTTTTTTTATTTTTTTTGGTTTTCTTGTTATAATAGTATTAGGATTAGTTTTGTTTTATTTTATTATAATTCTTTGTTGTAGTAGTATTAGGATTAATTTTGTATAAATAGTGTTGTGGAATTGTTTGATTGTGGATTGAATTTAAAAAAAGCAGAAATACACTCTCGCTCTTGTATATTCAAGGTCTCAAAACCATGCCTGTGGACACCTATATGGTTTGTCTTGCACTGCAGAATGGATCATGGGAAAGGCCGTTGCTCGAAAGGCTGCAAGGGTAATTTGATTATATGTTTCATTTCATTCATTTTTAATTATGTGCATTAATTTAATTTCTTGCTTGTAATGCCCTCAATGCAATGTGCGGTGCAATTTGAATGATGTGATAAAGCTTTTTGCATTACCTGCAATTTTGCTTGATCAAATTCTCAAGAAGGTATTTTTTGTTGTAGAATGAATTGATGTTTATTAATGAACAATATTCATCAAAATTCAATATGAGGTTTTACTCTTTTGCAATGTTGCAGGAAAATATGGCGCTCAAGGCTGAGAATTGCAATTTGGTATCACATGTAAGGTTTATCATTAATAAATTATTTAAACTTACATTTATTTCTTTTTCCATTAAAATTCAGAAATCTCAAGTTATTTCTGTTTTTCCATGACAGCTACTAAGTGCTAAGTCAGGGACTCTTTCTCCATGTCAAGGCTTCTGGTAGTGGTGATAGTAAATCTCTAATAAAAATCGTCAAACTCAAAGTTTTGAGAGGTTTCGGGGTTTAGACTATTTTGTTGACATGCAAATATGGAATGTTGATATTCCTTTTAGGGGTGGAAAAATCCGGTTAACCGATTGCTTGAACCGAACCGGTTTTCAGTTTCAAAAATAAATTAAACTGAAACCGGTCCGGTTTCGGTTATAAACCGGTTATGAACCGAACCGAATTTTCTGTTCGTTTAACTGGTTTTTAAATCGGTTAATTAAGATTTATGATGGGTTGCCTTTTTCGGCCCAATTCGGTCCTTTTTATTTTTTTTTTCCAGTTTTTTTTTTTTTTTTACTTGAATTAAAGTTATATACTTATATTTATTGTAATTGAATTTGAATTCATATAATTTGAATATACATCAAAATCGAATATTGATAATTTAAAATCAAACAACTGAGTAATTTCTAACCAAATAACAATTGATTCTCAACTCCAAAATCATTATTCATTTATTGATGAAGTAACACAAAAACTTGTAGTTCTCATCCTTTTAGTAAAACCAAAAAACAAGAAATTTGATTTCTGCAGATTCCCATGGAAAAAAAAAAAAAAAAAAGTCAAAATCATGTATAGAAACAACAATAATTTCTTTAAAAAAGAAAAAAGAACATTATTTATAAAACCATCTCAATTTGCTTTCAAATCATCTGAATCCTCAACCTTCTTGACAGCCTGTGCCTTCCTCAAAGTACTAGTTACTGCAACTTATCCAGAACATCTTCCTACTTTTTTTCAGAATCTTCAATGCAATTTTCCCACTATGTATAAAACTTTCTTTGCACTCACCACCCTTTATAAACAAGCAAAACCCACACCCTCCCACCTTCATCTTCAATTTCTTTTCTATTATAGATCATTCATTCTAAGTTCTAACTAACAAATACACATAACAAGAAGAATAATTAAAAACAATTGTTACAGGACATCAAATATCTGAGCCGTGGGCTCTCCTGTTCATTGCAAAGAGATGAGGTCACCAAGAAATACAAAACAAAGAGCCAAAGAGATGAGGTCACCAAGAAATACAAAACAAAGAGCCAAAGAGATGAGGTCACCCACCGGAAACAGACGACGATGTGGAGACTTGGTGAAGGAAGAAGAATGGTGACCGCGACTGGTGACTGGTGACTGTTGAGCAACAGATCGGTGAGCAAAGATCGGTGGCGTGAGCAACGTGAGAAATTTGTGTGGCTACTGGCTGAGGCGTGACCGCGTGACTTCAGCGTGAGAAGCGAGAACAGAGATCTGAGAACTGAGAGAGAGTGAGAGTCCGAGAGAGAGTGAGAGACAGAGACTAAGTCACTGAGACTCTGAGAGTGTGAGAGACTGAGAGTTACTGAGGTGAGTGTCTGAGTACTGGCACGAGTGAGTCTGAGTAGTGAGGTCTGATATCTGAGTACTAGAGCAATGGAGCTGCCGAGCTAGAGATTGGAGTAGTGACTAGTGAGTAGTGAAGACTGAAGTGAGTGAGTGTTAGACTTAGACTGTGTTAGGGATTGCAAAATAAAAAACGCAAAATGCATAAATTTTTTAAAATTTCGGTTCAAAAAACCGGTTCTAGGTAACCGAAATTAATTTTGTCAAAAACCGAACCGGATATTCAGTTTTTTTAATACCTGAACCGAAACAAAAAAAAAAAAAAAAACCGAATTTTTGGTCTGATTTCTCAGTCTAGTTCGGTTTCCGGGTTTTTTTTTTTTCCACCCCTAATTCCTTTTCCTTAGAGAGATTACAAACGTTACATGAGATATTCTTTTTCTTTATTTACAGAGATTACAAACATTATGGTGGGATTTTTTTCACTTCGTCACTACACATTTGTATAAATAGATGGTGAGAATACATGTAAGACACAATTCAATTGTATAGCCCCTGTTTGGTAGACTCTTAAATCATTATTCTGCTTTCCTATTTGGATTCACAACCCCAATCCCCACTGCCCCCTACCTACATCCCCATCCCCCTCGAGAAAGGCTGCCTCCAAGTAGTGTCACTGCACCGCAAGCTTGCCGAACGTGGCATGCGTTTGCTGGGCATGGAACAAGTTAAGGTTGATTTGATTTTTGTTATTTTATTTCGTGGGTTTCTATTTTTGTTATTGTGGGTTGATAATTGAAAGATTGTAACGAAGATGGTGGAGGCAAAGAGTTTTGATTGCGACTTTGATGGAGGTGGGGAGTTTTGATTGCGGGTGATAAAGGTGAGGGGGCTTGTTGCAGTTGTTAAGTTGGAGGGGGAGCAAAGTCTTTGATTCTACCCACCCAGTACTATTAATGTTTGTTTAATATGAAACTTGGATTTGATTGCTGGATTGAAAAGAAAATTTTTAGTTTGTTTAAATTGAATTGTGGGTTGGTTAGTTTCGAGTAGACAGAATGCATTGACAATTGGACTTAATAGTTTTCTGCAGTATAATTTGTGTCTGGAATGATTTATTTTTATTCTCATTCTTATCTGGGACCGTTTGGTCTCCGATGAATTTCGAGCTAAAGCAAATTTGGTACTCAGGATTAAAGCCAAATTGATTTCTACTTAATTGATTATGTACATCTATGATTAAGTTATGAGAGTGCATTTGTTTTCGAATAATTTTTGGTTACTGGTTTATGTTTTACATTGTTTGCTTATATCTGTCTCTTAAATGGTGCTTGAATGATGATATACAGAATGGAAGTTCTGCTGATCAAGTGGATTTGATATACGAGATTGATCAAAAGATAGGCGGGTGGGTGGGTAAGCTGTAATTTGTTTTAATTTCAAGGGTAATTTTGTCCAAAAAGTTAATTAATTGGGGTGAAATGATAAAAGTACGATTCATGTAAATAAATTTAAAAATAAAGGTATTATTATCTTAAAATTTTATTAATAAGGAATAAAATTGTAACAAAAATAAGATTATCTTGATAATCTTATAATACCTAAGAAAATATAGATTATCAGATTATCTCTAATATTACCAACAGTAACTATTATTGGTATTTAAAGATGACCGAAATCTTATATTTCTTTGACAACCAGACATAGTAATCAAGTAATATAAGATAACATATCTCCAGTAATCTCATATAACCGCCAACCAAACGCCCCAAAGGGGACATTTGGTTCACAGTAATGTTAGATTATTGGGGTAATATCATCTTATATTACTTGATTACCATGTTTGGTTGTCAAGTAATATAAGATTTCGGTAATCTTCAAATACCAATAGTAGTTACTATTGGTAATATTTGAGGTAATCTGATTACTTCCATTTTCTTAGGTATTTTGAGATTATCAGGGTTATCTTTTTTTGTTACAATTTTATCTCTCATTAATGAATATTTTGGACAATAATGCCCTCATTTTAAAATAAATTTACATTAATATCTTATTTCAATTTTACCCTTGTTTAACTAAAATTTTGGATAATAATGTCCTTATATTTAAAACAAGTTACAGACCACCATTGCCACTCAGCCACCACCACCATTACCACCCAGCCTCCACCGCTGATAGCGGCCAACCACCACGGACAGCCGTCGAAAACTCGTCGGTGTTCCTAGAAAAGAACGAGTTTTGGTGGGAGGTCGAAAACGGCCATATCAGGCCTGATCTGTGGCCATTATCGACCAGATCTATTCCGGCCGAAATAGATCCGACCGTTAACGGCCAGATCTATCCTGATATAGCCGTTTTTTACCATCAATATGGCTAGAAACGGCCATATCAAAGCCTCTTGGTCACGGTGAGTTGCTGATGGGGACTTTTGGAGACTTCCGGCGGTGGTCTGCGGTGGCGGCAGGTGGGGATGATTTTGTAATAAATTAAAGTTTTATATAAGCAGGGGTGTTTTAACTAAATCTGAAATATTGGGGGTTAAAAGAAATTATTCAAAAATTAATAATAAAAATAATATTATATTAATATTTATAAAGGGGACAATTTAGTAATTTAAATAACATAACTACCAATTTATTCCCCATAACCAAACATATTAATATAACATACCCACCAACTAACCAAACACATTTTCTTAAAGATTCTCAGTAATCTTCCAAGATAATCTATCTTTCTAGTAATCCAATATTCTCAGTAATCTAACATTCCTGAACTAAACGCCCCAAAAGGTTATGTGAACACTAACTTAGATGATAGTTTTAAGATTACCATAATCCAATTTTTGTTCTAATTTTACCCATAATAAAAATTCTGGACACCATTACCCTCATTTTGATATCAAATAACAATTAACCCGATTTGTTAAATGACTTCTAAACTTTATTGATTAATTATTTGAACAAAAATACCTATATATATATATATACACACACACGAGAAATACTAACTTTACAAAGAGAAATATAAAGAAGGGCATACAAAGACAAATCCTACCCTTAAAAGAAGGGAAAAAGAGAGAAAGATTAAGGACAAGATTTGTCTTTATATGCCCCCTCTTTGTATTTTTCTTTATAAGGCTAACATCTCTCTCTCTCTCTCTCTCTCTCTATATATATATATATATATATAGTAGTAATCATATCTTTTTCATAATAAATATTGGAATATGCCGCACCCTCTACAAGGCTAGGCCTAGATGCATGGAATGGAAGTGAAACAAACAAAACTTGTTTAGGGTTTACAAAAGGAAGATTTTCCAACTACATTGTAATTGTTAGGTCTGCCTCCAACATACAGCAGCCAAAATATAATTTTCCAAAATATAATATTCCGATAGCGGGAGATGCTGAAGCATCACAATGCTAAAATCACTCAAAATTTTAATTTAATTTATTGTTTCACTTCTCAAGTTAAAATCACATGTTGTCATTGCTCTGCTATTACTTTTTTCTGCTCTTCAGCCTAGGCATCATATACTTCAATCAGACTTGGCTCGTACTCAGCCGGGGCCTCGTATCCATGGAGATTTATGACTGTTGCTGCTACATTGGCAAGCCCAGCACCGGGAAGATCCGATCGGAACCTGACATCGTTTGGCAGTCCAGGACCTCCAATTGCAATAGGCACCTATATCCCAAATGAAAAATGCAAATGTAACGGTTTTCTGAACATTATATAACAAAAAAGGATAAATTATGTCACCAGTTGACAGTTGAGGGCATAGATGCATCCTCTATTTACCAATTTCTTTCAGAAAATTGAGAAAAGCTAAAGTTGAGAGTTCAGAAAAATTACCGGCTGAAGAGTGTGAGAAGTAAGTACTTGAATCTTGCCATCCTTGCCAAGAGCAGGCTCCCCAGATTTGTTCCTCTTCACCATGTCCTTTGTGTTGCCATGATCCGCAGTGATGACATATATTCCACCAACTTGTTCTATTGCATCAATAATCATCTGAAATTGAACATCTTTCCATCATCAGGCAACAAAAACAAGACGACTTTTAGCAGAACAGCTATGTGGAAAACTAATAAATTAGTCATAAAAAATTTCATAAACTATAATTATGGAACTCAGAATTCAAAAAGGGAAATCTGAAATCTCAACAGTCTGAGACAATTAATCTTGACATGATACTTTCAATTAAAAAAAAAAAAAAAACAGATAATAAAGAGAGAAGTATGAGAGAGAGAGAGAGAGAGAGAGAGAGGGCGGCGTTTCATCCTTTGCTTTAGACTTTTCATTGAGAGAAGCTATTCATCATTCATATTGCTGAGTGATCTATAGAAAATTTACTTTAATATCACAAGAGCAAATAGCAGAGGCATTTTTATTAATATGTTCCAAATTAGGCCATGAGCTTTAAGAATAATATTCTACATCCTTGATGGCAGACATGATATTTGCATGATTTATGGAGTGAAAAATCTGAATATACGAAATCAATGGAACATAATTAAGCAGTGAAACTGAAGGAAGAAATGGAAGTTAAGAGAGCAGAAAGGGATATCGATCTAGGAATACCATCCAAGAAAAAGGAGTAGGTGAAAATGATAGATGCCACAAAGTGCCCCAATGAAACATCAACTACTACCATATTACATTCTTGCACATGCATAGGTGATAGCTAGATCCTAGAAACCAAAATGTTCAGCCCTTTTCTTTGTCTCACAATGCCGTCCTTGAGATACATAGATAAAGTCATTTATGGAAAGTGGAAAGAGGAAGTTATCTGCTTTAAAGAAATTCTTGAAGATAAAGGAAAAGAAGGTTTGTGGTTAATAATTCTTTCTCAAGTTTAATCTGTCAAAAGTGGTGAGTGGGAATAAAGAATTTCAAAACATGGGAAAAGCCCAAAGTTAGCAGAGCTACTGATTTAGTGGAAGAGGAGGATAAGATTTATTTGACGAGGATGCTCTTAGAAAAATCTCTACATATACGGAACTTTCTGATCTCAGAAGATAACTGCAGAAAAATCAGTCAGGAGAAGAAAGTTGCAAATGCTTGGAAAAAATGTTGAATTTGAAATTGGCAAGGAGTTACAGATAAAACTGGATCATTCATACAGGAAAAAAAATCGTCTCCTGTTCCAGTCAACAAAATAGTTGGGAAAAACATTAAAGCAAAGGGGCTAAGTTGAGGAGGTGAGAAAACTAAAATACTAGCAGTAAAATATCAACCATGAAAACACATTAAATGGTAGATTGCATAAACACTAAAGCCATAATACCTTGACAGCTTCATCAGCAGCCTTGCATGCCACGACTGTTGCCTCAATATCTCCAGTGTGCCCCACCATGTCACTATTTGGAATGTTAACACGTATCTAAGAAACAGCCAAAGCAATAATAATCAGTTCAATTTGGACTGTCAGTCTCAAATGTCACATTGTAAGTCCTTTAATTTTAATTACCTGGTGGAATCTGCGACTAAGGATAGCCTTCTTTGCCCTTTCAGCAATTTCAATGGCCTTCATCTTTGGCTGAACGTTGAATGTAATTCCAACATCACTAGGAATTTCCACATATTCCTCCAATTCTTGGTTGAAATACCCAGAGCGGTTTCCATTCCAGAAAAAAGTGACATGTCCAAATTTGACAGTCTCACTGTGGATTTAAAAAAAACAAAAAGCGTATAATAACAACTATAGCAGTATAGAGTAAAATAGATGACTAGGATTATATTTTAACAAAGAATAAGTCCTAGGTCAAGCAAAACAAAAACGTGAGCAAAAGAATGAAATTTAACATGTTTATGAAGAAAATAAAGAATATTTTTAACATGTTTGTAACATGAGACAAACTAGGTGGAAACTGACCTGCAAGCAAAAGTACGGACACCATTATGCACCAGATATTCACCAGATGTTCTATCTATCTCGGGTGGAGAAACAAGGTAATGGCTTGGAAGTTTCAATTCTCCATCATATTGAAGCATCCCAGCATAACGGATTTTAGGGAATCTTACCCGATCAAATTTGTCAAAATCTTCATATTCTAGGGCCTTAGCAAGCATAACCATCCTATCCGCACGGAAGTTGACAGTAACCACAGCATCACCATCCACTATTGGACCCACAGCCTTATCATTCTCGTCAACAATAACAAATGGAGGTATGTACTGGTCACTGATTTTGGGATCTTCCCTCAATTTCTTAATAGCTTCAACAGCATTCCTAAATTTGTGTGGGGCTTCTCCAAGAACTTGGGCATCCCATCCTCGTTTCACAACGTTCCAGTCATTCTGCCAAAATCCAAATTAAGGTCATTAAATTATTTAATTAAGTGGGTACAGCCCAGATCAAAGTTAGCTGATGGTATCCCTTGCTTTAATGGTAAAACATAAAGCAAATTTTTTGAACAAAAAATCAAAATCTCAAATGAATAAGCCAAAACAACTTTTTCAAGGAGATTCAAGGAACGTCAGCCCAAGTATGAAAGCCACATTACAGATAGGCAATAAGCAGACTTTCCACTAAAAATTATAACAATACCCAGTGAAGAGCACAATAACACACAAATAGGAAAAGGAAAAATAAATAAGGAGATGGGGGAAAGAGCGATACAAGTAATTACAATAAAAAGTCATAGTAAAGCTTGTAGATATCCAAACAGTATACATTTCATACCTCATAACGATCCATAGTGACGTACATGCGGCCTCCACCAGATGCAATCTGTGCATCAATACCTTTCGTACGTAAATCTGAAAGATCCTTCTCAAGAGTTTCTACAAAGCCTACACTTGAACCATCCAAAACATCACGCCCATCAGTGAGAATATGAACACGAATTCTTTTAGCACCACGCTCACTAGCTCCTTTCAGCAACAACTGCACAAATAAAAATTATATAAAATACAGAAATAATATTGACATGAGTCCTCAAGTAGAACGCTTTTTAACCTGCAACTGATCAAGCCTGGAGTGTACTCCACCATCACTCAATAACCCAATGAGGTGCAAGGTTCCAGTTTCGAAGGATTCCTTTATGTACTTAAATCCTTCTCCATCATAGATTTTTCCAGAGGCCAGAGCAATGTCAACAAGCTTTGCACTGCATTCAAAATTTAATAAGTTCTCAAACTCACAGCTAGATTCATGTATGCCATATCAGATATTGGTAGAACAATTCATATCAATATTTAACACAACATGCATCTGTCACAGAGTACAAAAACTTTCAGAATTGTGGGAGCTGAGGTAATTAGACTCAAAATGTTAATTACAGGTTTCTTTGCCCCAAGTAATCTGATAAACTTCCAGTTGAAGATTATTAACACCTTATTCACCCTATGTTTAATCTCTAAAGCTCCTTATATTTTTAGTATGAATTATCTCTGAGACTCTTCTTTCACTTTTAAAGCTGTAATGAGTATCCGATTAGAAAATTTAATTAATCAATTCTCTTCAAACATATTTAAGTTAACATAATTAAAGATACCAGGACACGGAATGCTGGTACCTAAAACCCCAAGAAATATAAGCAATTAATCCCTTTCCGAGTGGTAAAGTAAACACTCTCATGTTCATTAGCCCCTTCTTAAGTTAAAAAAATTGAACAATCCGTAAAACCATTACAGATGCAACCGAAGCTTTTAAAAAGAAGGAAAAAGAAAAGGGAAGAGAATATCACCCTTGGGCAAAAATACGTCCAGCTCCGAGTGCGTTATGGCCGACTTCACTGTTCCCCATGTCATCTTCTGATGGAAGCCCAACTGCAGTACCATGAGCCTTAATCAACCTCCATTTCTCAGGGGCTCCCTTCGAAAGAAAAAGATTAAAAATAAGTTAGACATCCTCACATTCCATAAAACTGAAATATAATGATACAGCAAGTGTTGGGATCTGATCCTGATCCATCTAAAATTAAATGTCGGTACAACCTATGTTTGGTTAAAATTTGTGAAATGAAGAAGTGAAAAATGAAAATAGTTTATAGATCTGCATACTTTTGATTAGAAAGGAAGGAAGGACAAAAATCAAAAATCAAAAATAGATACCTCCTTGAGCTTGTCCATGGTGGGAGTTTCAGCGACATGGATGCAGTTATACTGATCGGGCTTATTCTCACCCCAACCATCCAAAACAACCAACGCTATAGTATTATTCCTAGGGATCCTTCCATGTTGTTTCAATTTCCATTGGGTGTTCTCCATCTATGAAATCCAATTAATATAATAATATAACAACTATAATCACAGCAAATCAATCGCAAGCAAATTGAATTGAAATAAAATCAATCAACTACAAATCCATGTCCAATCCTTACCTTATAAATTGAAGGCGAAGTGTGAGTGAACTAACAGAAACAACCAGAAACGGAAGCAACGAGAGAAAGAAAGAGAAGGACAAACCCTTATCTTAGTGATTTGTATATTTATATTAGATCTCCCGTCTGCGTAAACCGTTTGATATGAAAAAACCATGGTCACACGTACCCTCTGCTTTTGACTTCAAAGCGTAACAACCCCGTGCCGCAGCACGTGATTTTTTCCTCAAATTTTCTTTAAACCCCCCGAATATTCCCGAACTCTTTTTTACCGCCAAAACTGGGGGCCTGGTAAAAAAACAAATCTGTGTCCCAGTAAAAATAAGATTTTGGGTGCGTTTAGTTCATTATTTTGTATAAGATTTTGGAAATAATTTTGGATAGTTAGATAGGGGAGTATTACAAGGTAAAATTTATAAATTTATAAAAAAAACCCCAAGGTTTACTAATTTAATTTAACACCTCAATATATAAAATGATAAAAATACCCCCACCATCCACAGTGCCAGATTCCGGTCACCACTGCCAGAATCTGGCCAGAAAATTGCGTTACAATACAGACCGGTCGGATATGTGTCATAACGCGTCGATCTGGCTGGAAAAGGCCAGATCTACGGTCAAATGTGGCCGTCAACGGCCGCAAAGGGCTATCTTTGGATATGACCGTCGTTTTTTGTCAACAATGGCCAAGTTTTAACCGTCGTAGAAAGCCAGATCGGTGAATAGAGGCAAGTTCCGAGCTTGATGTAAGCCGTTGTGATAGATTGCTACTACCACCGATGGTGGTTGCCAGAATCTGGCAAGTATAGATGAGTAGGGGTGCTTTTGCTAATTTTTAAACTTTTTTTCTAGATGTATTTAGTGAAATTAATAAACTTAAGGAGTCTAAAAGTAATTAAAAAATACACTAATATTTCTAAAATAATGTACCAAACAATATTTATGGAATAAGATTGAGAATATAGGTAAAAATATTGAACCAAACACTCCCAATTTACTCAAATATCAGGGCTATTGTTGTCATTGAGCTAAATATAATAGGTAAATCTGAAAATGTGAATTGGGTTAGGTGCAACCAAGAGTCTTCCTCGCTATTTCTAGCATCGGTCACATCACGCACGTGACGTGAGTGACTTAGACATTTAATTAGTAGAAGGGGTTATATTTAATTTAATCAGGAGTAAACAATATTTTTGGTTTAATGATATTTTTTACATCGTTTTAATATCATAGTACCACCATTCTCTTCTAGGTCATCAGTCACCAAAACCATTTAAAACTTGACTATCAAATAATTAGGGTTTACATAATCATTCCTTCCAAGTTAAATTTCGATCAATCACAACCTTTAATCATTGAAAGATTTATGGATATCTTCTTTTAAAAAACTTAACAGATTAGATCGAGTTTATTCTCTGTTCATTGTCGAAAAATAAATTTAAATAACAAAATAATATTTTAAATGACTGTGGATAGAAAAATATCATTAAATTATTATTGGGAAGGTGATACTACATTGTATTAATTAATCACTTGTACAAAAGTAATAAGACAGCAGAAGGCATGCGCGCATGCCCTCTCTTGAATATTATACAGAAGTAGCGGTTGACTCCAACGGCAAAAACGGCAGTGGATTATTAAGTAGCACCTAACCGAACCGGCCTCTTCTATTGTCAAGTTGAAAAGGAAGTGGCAGTGGGTGGTGGATGTGTGAAATAAGGCCAAAGTCATGTACCACGCCTCGTTATACATCATCAAAATTTATTAATAATTAGTCACATATATCATTGTTGGAAAACTAAACCCATGTTGTTGGGCTCTCTTCGGAATTCGGCTCACATTGTGAACCACACATCCTCGTACAAGAAATAGGGCCACAATAGTCTTGGATCTATAGTGTTACTAACCTACCCCAGATTTGTCAACACATCCTAGACTAAAAACTAAACCCAAAGGCCCAAAAAAACGGTGAGATAAGACCGTCTTTCGTCACCTCCAACCCAAACCCATACGTCCATCGAGTCAATTTTCTAAGGTCGCACGCATTATAGGATGTTTGTACCAAGAGGTAAACAAAGGATAATATTACATTTATAATTCAATCTCATAAATTTTCTCTCATAACTCTGACATGACAGTTCGCAATAGGTTTTGTCAACCCAATTGCGAGCTGACAAATTACAAACTATCACGTCGAGGTTATAAAATAAAATTTGTAAGATTGGGTTATGAGTCAATCTTTATTGAGTAAAAAAAAGATCGTTAAGAAAGGGTAATTGTGGTTGGATTCCTAACATGTCAACACATGGATTGGCTGTAACATTTTTTTTTTTTTTTTCTAACTCATCCCATGTCGTTGAGTAGGTTTGACTATAATACCATTTAGAGTAAACGACATTTTCCCACCCAAGGTTTGGCGAATTTGCAAGTTCTCACCCCTAGTTTCATAAATTACAGATTCCCACACTTAAATTAATGTTGTTATTTTTTTCTCAAAATAACCTCTATTTCTCAAATAACCCCCAGAGGATTCCAGCCAAGCCAAGAATCTGGCCTGATTCCTACACCATTGGACCTCCCCGACACCACCATCAACATCCCTTATCCTCCTCACCAAAACCCTGAACTTTTTCCACCTGATTGCACATCGGTGAGGTGTCGGAATTTGGTTGGAAAGGGGCTAAAAAATGCAAAAACCTAAGGGAGAGGCGACGGCAATCGACGGGTAATTGTAGTTGGCGATGTTAGGGGTTTTGGTGGGGGGGAAGCCAGCAATGCTATTGGTGATCTTGGGGGTGGTTTTCGATGTCAGGATTTGACGCAATTTGAATGAAACTTCGATTGACACTAAAAGCAACGACTAGCAATTAAGGGGTTTAATCAGGCAGGGAGGTTAGGGGTTTTGATGTGGGGATTGATGGAATTATAATTTAAAAGTAGGAATCTACAATTTATGAAATCAATGGTGGAAACTTCAGATTGGCCAAACCTTCGGTGGGAAAGTCGTTTACTTAACCATTTATAGCTGCTCATTCTTTGCGGTACACTCCTACCATTGGTTTCTTTAATAAATTTGGTACTAATGAAAGAAAGTTTCTTACGTAAATAGTTGAGTGACCCCACTTTAACTAAACAATGTGAATTTCTATAATCCCAAACCCACCTGTCCATATTATCAATTCTAAGGCATCAATTTTGAGTGTACAAACATTGTTGCGGTAAATCTTTTCATCTTTTAAGAAAAAAGGCAAAAGGGAATGGGCCGAGGAATGCCCATTCCCTTGTTTACTTTGCCTTTTGTTGGCGGAATGGGAATGGCCATTCCATAGGATTGGTATTCCAAAGATGGGGGAATCGCAAATATTACTCTTTCACCCTTGTTCTAAACTTCTTTTCCCAAATTTACCCTGAGTTTAATTTACTTAAATTTATTATTTTAATTAAAATATAAATAACTGAAATATTAAATTACAATTTGGCCATATTACTTCACCTAAGAACAGCCGCTAATGTGACGATCGTCGGAATTACACAGAATTTTTTGTTTAAAAAAAAAATGAAAGAATAATTTTTTGAATCGTGTATCGTATCTTATCGTAAGATACGCCTTTTCAAAAAATTAATAAAAATAATCAAAATTTTCTAAAAATAATATAATCCCCAAGATTAATAAAGAATTTTGTGGTATTAGACTTTAAATTACGGTATTACATAATCAAAATTAATCACAAATTCCAAGATCAAATCAATATCTATATCTCCACTTTTATTATATCATGTAAAATGGGCAATCATTCCTCTTCACTCTCCATGTAAAATAGGTAAACTTGGAAGGTTTTAGTGAATGGGTTGGGTAACCGGTTTCGACCGAATTTTTTTTGTACCTTTGGCCCAATTAATAAAACCGTATCGATTTATATCGATATTTTTAAGGATACGAACGGATACGTATCGTATTGTAGGATAAATATCAACGTATCGAATAGTTTTGGATATACTCTCTATACGTATCGTTGGCGACCTGTATCGAGTCGTATCGTATGATACGTATCGGGTATCGTAGGATACTAACAACCATGGTCGGAATTACACATAATTTTTTGTTTTAAAAAAAAAATGAAAGAATAATTTTACATTTATTAAATAAAATATATATTAGTATTTAGTAGTACATATAAATGTTTTATTTAAAATAAAAATACTTGTTTAATTGATTTTTAATGGGTTCTATTGATACATGATTTTGACACCAACAACTTCACACGTGTAAAATGCTAAGAGATCACACGTGAGATGATTATAGTAAACAAGTAAGATATTGTTTTCACAATAGCATGCAAAGACATAAATAATAAAGGAGACAGTAAGGTTTTTATAGTGGTTCAGATGCTTAAACCAAATTCTACATCTACTGTATTCTTTTATATGAGTGTATTCTTAGTTGTTAGCCAATATTACAAGAGGTCGCAGTAATTACAAGTGCTTGGTGTTCTTATAGAATGTCAAACCGGTCTCTTTCTTGTAGTGTGTCTTTGCTATTTTCTTTGTTGAATTCAAGAGTGTCTAATATTGATTTTGTGAGAGAGAACTGTCTATTTATAACCGTTGTACTCAAGGTAATGATTATACTTTTGCATCTGGCCTGGTGCCGTGCTAATCTCTCACGTCTTCCCATTAATTGAGAACTCAAAAAATATTCTTAAATTAAACGGAGCTTGTAGAGGTGTGTGAACCAAATTCATTTATAGACAAACTTTTGAATCGATTGGATTCTCTGAATTCTTATTGGTGGTCGCTGATGTCAACCCTTATTTTATACAAAACAGGTTCAATTACGTGAGAGAAGAATATACATTAAATTTGAGTGTATTTTTGCCCAAAGAAAACACAATTCTTTGCCATTCATCTTTATTATTACAATTTACAAGTAAACAACGTAATCATATTTTATTTCTTCACACATTGCCATTCCAATCTCCATACCCATTCCACAACGTAATTCTTTAGCATGCCTCTTTAATTAAAATATGTATAGGTGAAATGTGGAGTATTTCTTATGATATTAATTTTTTTTTTCTTAAATAATACATGATAATTAATAATTACATATATCGGATCAATTAGCCTTAATTTTTGCAAGAACAAGGGAGGCCTTCTACTTGATTAATAAATTTTCTTTATTAAAAAAGGATTTACATGAACATGTAGTAGTGATAGGAATAGGAATGGCCACGGCAGTTTGAAAACCAAAAACCAACCCAGAGAAAAAGAAAAAAGAAAAAAAATATTTTGGATATCTACACCCCCACTTGCAGCTTGGTTTTTTTATATAAAAGGAAAAAAAACCAAACTTTTCAGGACAGGAATTGAAAAACAAAAAAAAAAGGGTGAGTGACGGTGGTCGGCGGTGGCGGTTCTGCTGTGCTACAATCTGCCATTCTCTCAAAGGAAAAAAAAAAGCTGATATATATGTATATATTTTATATATATATACTATTTAGTTTAGGAAAATGATTAGCTAGAGTTGTAAAAAGAAAAAAAATTATGAGGAAAAGCGTCGGGAAGAACCGAACATCTGATCCAGGAGAATAACGAGGGCCATGGCAAATGGCGTATCGATTTCCGGCTGTACAATCAGACGGAATACATCGACGCCAAAGGCCACTCCTCCTACTGCTTCTTTTTTCTTTATCTCCGCTACTCGCCTCCTCTTTCCGTCGTACACGGAGCAGGATCGTTGGGTGTACGATCCCTCTATTTGATAGATCACGTTCTTGTTGTTGTTGTTGTTGTTGTTGGACGACGAAGATGATCCCGTTCCGTTATGATCATAACTAATACGACACACGTGAGCCAAGCACTTGTTGTTGAGGAGATTCACGTTCTTCCTCACGGAAAAACGCGGATTAACGTCCGTTTCTCCGTCGTACACCAGCCAGTTGTCCCCAAGGCTCAACCTCTGATAAAGGTGATAAATTGAGCATCATTTTGAGATATATATATTAACAAAAAAAAAAAAAAAAAAATAGTAAAGGAGATAATTTGAAAGCATTTTATAAACATATACCTTACGGCGGATGGTGAGAAGAGGCTTGCCGGCGGCGTCCATGAGGAGGATCTCAACCTTATGGCCTTGCATGTAGTTATCAACTCTAAAAACCAGGTCGCCCTTGCCGTCATAAACGGTGAATCCATTACAGTTAAAGAGTAGAGATTTCTTCCAGACAGTGAGGACGGCCTCCTTTCCGTCCGACGCCGGGCACTTGGTGGTGGTGGTGGTTGGTAAGGTGACGGTGGCGTTAGGATAAACCTTTGTCATTCCTGGATTGCAGTACGTGAAGGATGCCAGCCTATTCTTGAGTATTAGGTCAACTGATTTACCAGTAACCCTAGAAGAGATTGAGGTAGATGAAGAAAAAGAGAGGAAGAGTTGGGTTCGGTTTGAGTTTGGAAATGAATGACCTAACTGAGCATGAATGGGATTTATATATATTGATGGCTCCAACTGTAAAAAAATGCCTTTACAAGAAGAAAGGTTAAATCACAACCACCAATGGCCAAGGGCCGCACTAAAGCTAAAAAAGTCAAACACGAGTGCGCCACCATCACGTGACGTCAACACTCCATTTATGATATTTTATTGGACGAAGAAATTAAGAAAATAAGAAAATCAGTCGGTAATGGTGAGGGAGGAGATAGAGACATAATATCATTTTAGTCCCTGAAACCTCTGGCGATTAATTAAGGACATTCATTTAAAATACTATAATTTTTAGTCCTTACACTTAATCAAATAGATGTCAAAAGACAATAATACCCTTAAAGCCCATAATTATTAAGTTTTGCTTAATTTCTTCGTTGTGATGTAGAATAAGGGTATTATTGTCTTTTAATACCTATTTTTTGTTAAAATCATATAGTATTTTATCTGGATAGAGGTGGTGAAGTAATGATAAGAATAAGAACAAGAATGGTTTATTAATTAATTATAATTAAATTAATTAAGTCTAATCTATCCATGTCTTTATCTTTACTTCCAAGGCAAATAAATATAATAGTACATAAAATCAAAATTTGTGGCTGAGGACCAATTCGCGGTGGAGGAGTGGACACCTGTACAAATTTCTTAGATATTTTTTATTTTTTTAAGATTATAGTTATTTGATTGGCTATAGTGAGAGCGACTCCCACCAATTATATATTAGAAGAGCCAATTTGACCTCTGAATTTTAATATTATTACTCATTTGATTGGATCTATCTTACTCTTAAGATAAAATTAATTAATTAATTAAATAGGGAATTAATTAATTAATAGGTTTCCATTAGATTTGGTGGTGTGTTTCAGTGCCCTACATGGCTGTTCCTAAACCTAATCCTAATCTCTATCTCCAACTTCCTTCCTTTATTAGTAGGACTCCTTTATACTCCAAAGTCACGTGTGATATTGAAAGCCACTCACAATTAATGCATCTCTTTTAAGGTTTACTTTATTTTAATATGTAGGGTCGTTCGATACGAAAAACTAATCATTAATCCCACTTAAATCGGGAATCTAACCTAAAACCGTGTGTTTATCTATATTATCTCTAATTCGTCTTAATCATTTGGACTACTCATAGATGAGTACTATTTTAATAAACTCTTCTTCTATAAGTTTTATTTGAATAAGTCGTACCAAACAAACTCTAACTGTTATTAAAAAATAAAGTTGTATCAATTGAAAGTGAAGCTCGTTGTCGAAGCAATGGCTTTAACATGTAAAGAAGGTAGCCGGAATTGTAAATACAAGGTATAAAGAAATAGTTAGAAGTCATGAACTAGAGGCTAAAAGCCCCCATTTATGATATTATTATTGATAAACTTTTTTTTTTTTTTTTTTTGAGTAACCATGGTGTTCGAGCCTGTTTACAAACAGCTCGACTAATCCTTGGGAGAGACTAGCCCAACAATCCGTTGCCACGATTTTTTCTTAAATCGCGGATGCTTTGATGGAGAATCAAACTTGAGACTGTGCGTCTATCCACAATTCGTCATAACCATCTGGACTACCCACGGATGAGTCTACTACTTCAATAAACTCTTCTTCTATAAGCTCTACTTGAATAAGTCGTACCAAACAGACTCTAACTGTTATTAAAAAATGAAGTTGTATTAGTGAAGCTCATTGGCGAAGCAATGGCTTTAACATGTAAAGAAGGTAGCCGGAATTATAAATACAAGGTATAAAGAAATAGTTAGATGTCATGAACTAGAGGCTAAAAGCCATGGACAAGAGCCTGTTTACGATAATTATTATCAATAAACTTTTTTTTTTTGATAACCATAGTGTTTGAGCCTGTTTACGAGCAGTTCAACTAATCATTGAGAGAGACTAGCCCAACAATCAATCGCCACGACTTTTTCTTAAATCGTGGATGCTTAGATCGGGAATCGAACTTAGACTATGCGTTTATTCACAATTCGTCATAACCATCTGGACTACCTATGGACGAGTCTACTACTTTAATAAACTCTACTTGAATAAGTCGTACCAATCAAACTCTCACTGGTATTAAAAAATGAAGCCGAAGGTAGCCGGAATTGTAAATACAAAGGTATAAAGAAATAGTTAGATGTCACGAGGTAGAGGCTAAAAGTAAAAGCCATGGACAGGAGCAGGCGTCGGTGCAAAGCTATACATATATATCAGGCTTGACTTTTAATTTATGGAAACACTAACACAAGCATCATTTGATTCCATAAGTCTAATATTTAGTAATTACATTGGCCGACCAAAGGCACAACTAGTATTAGGCCAACTTGACTTTTCTCAATTGTTACTAGAATCCAAAAAACAAGAGTAAAGCACATTTACCCACCCAAAGTTTGACGAATCTATAGTGTCCACCCGTGGTTTCATAAATTGGAAATTCCCACCTAATTTTAAAGTTCAAACGTTAGGTTAACAGCTAAAAGGCTATTTAGGTTTTTTTTTTATCCGAAAAATAGTAAACCCTAATCTCTTTCACTCTCCCAAATTAGTAAAATTTCAAAATAACCCTCCACATCTTAAAAATTTCTCAGAACCCAACCCTTCCACTCCGCCTCCAACTCCACCACCACCACTAGTCCACCAATACCAGCACTACCAGTGACCAAATCTGGCCACTGCAGAGAAGAGGAAAAGAGAAAGAGAAAAAAGAAAAGTGAAAGAGGCGGAGAAGAGATAAGGAGAAAGAGCGAGAGAAAAGAGAAGTGAGAAAGAGGCGGAGAAGATCCCGACGACCAGATTTGGTTGCCATAGAGAAGAGGAAGGTTGAAGAAGAGGGTGTTAGTGAAATGAATATGGTTATACGCGTCTCCAACCATATTAAATATAAAATAATTTAAGCAATTATAAAATATATATATATATATATATATATATATTAAAATCTCATTTCTAGATGCTTTTTTTGAAAAGTAGAGCTACAATTTTTCAATCATTCCAGATGCTGCAATAAATGGCAAAGAAAGATAAAGAGAGTATTAGTGAAATAAATTTGAAAGGAATATAGTTACTTTGCTAATTCTATTAATTTGAGGGTTGGAAAGTAATTTATTATTTTACTGATTGTTATAATAAGGGGTAAAAAGGGTATTTGATTAGTCAAACCTAGTCAAAGCAAAATTTACCTTAACAAAGTTTAAAATTGGGTGGGAATTTACAATTTATGAAACCACAGGGTAGAAACTGTAGCATTGCCAAACCTCGAGTGGGTTAATGTCCTTTACTCATCCAAACAATAACTATTGATTAAAGTCCAAATCACTCTTTGAAACAGTAAAAGCTTTAGATAATTACTCAGACCATCCTCAAATACCACCCCCACTATGATTAAGAATTTAACATAAAAATTAATCACCCACCTGTGTTAGTGATAATACAACTATAATTAACAATTAAGATAAAAATTAAGGGTTTATTTCTAACCCTAATCATTGTCAATGTACTGAACTAATGACTGCTAATTAAAAAGACCCTTTACTAATCTATATTCTGGTTTACTAAAAACAACAAGGTGTGACAAACGAAGCAATCTGTTTGTTTTAGAAAATTGGGTGGCTGCTGTTTTTAGGGCGGCGGTATTTTAAAACTCAAGGTTTGTGGAGGTTGTGTCATATACCTTAAACCATGTATCAGTATATTATCAAGGACAATCAATCAGCTTTTGGCTAAGATTATTGGTCACAAACTGGCTTTCCTCTTCCATCAAAACAAGGGACAAGATGTCTAAACAAAAGCAAAAACAAAGAAAGGAATATGCAAATATGCATGCAAGATATTAAGGAGAAAAGATGGTGGAGTAATTAATATGGTTATATGATAGCCACCACAAAACAAATTCCAGTTATTCCCCACCACCTCACCTTCATTCATCTTTCAAAAGATGATTCGATTCCCCCATCTCATTATCAGACAATCCATACCTTTCTCTTCTCCTGTCTGTCAACCCTTTAGCCACTCTTTTTTATTCCCTTCATCTTTCACTTCCACCTTCCACCTCTTTAACCAACTTCTTTCTGCTTGCATAAAGACCACACACATCTCACACGGCGAATCTCCTCCATGACAAAATAATCATAAACTTATAAACAAGAATATCACCAATAGGCACTTAAACTATAATGTCCCCACAGTTGAATTCTAGATGTTCGATCACATATAAACTTATCAAACTTTTGCATATTTATGTTCATTCTCATGTATTCTTTAACTACATATAAAAATATCATGCAACTATGTTTAATAACAGTCATAGATGTATCTTTCTTCAAGTCTCATCCACTCTTGTGGAACATTAAAATCATAACTTTCTGCATAAGCAAAACAAGATAAAAATACAGGGATCAAAGTTCTTCGGATAAATAGAGATAATGAACTTGATGTCACTGATTAGTTGTCCAATTATAAGACCAATTATAAACTCAACACTCAAGTAACAGGAATCAAGCAAACAAAAGGGTAATGTGAAATTGTACAAAAAGAATGAAAGAATATCATACTCTTTTGACATTACTACTACATGAAATTGATTCTCAATACCCAAATGGACTGCCTAAGATTGTGACTTGACAATGAAATATCAGGTTAACAAGGCATTTTGGCAAACTCAATGATCCAAAATGTATTATTCAGAGAAGAACAACCTCATTTTTCATGAGTTTTAATGTTAGTACAAGTAGACACGCATCTGCATCCCAAATGATGCCCAAGTCCAGGTAATAAAAGGACTCAGAATATCTTGCACACTGGTTTCAATATGCATGGGGAGGAAATAGTAGTCTTTCACGTTGGATATGAATATAGTAATCACTTTTGATTCTCAGGGTTGAAAATCAACCAGCACAAAATCCATATGCAGCTGGTGTCCACAAAAACTTTAAATATTAAGAATCCTTTGATACCCAAAAAAATATATAAATGATTAACGGCCCCTGTTCTTTCA